CCACCTGCACCAATGGGCGGGGGCGGGGCCTGTTGGCCCACCTGCACCACAGGAGAGGGTCAGGGAGGGGCCTGTTGGCCCCTCTGTACCAGGAGGGGAGGAGCCTGTTAACCTACGCGCACCAGTGATGAGGGGGGCATTTACTTATTTATTGTTTACACCTCCCCCCAAGGCACAGTTTGGTCCTGTTGCTTCTTTGTTTGTCCCATGTTGCCCTGGTGGGTTACTGCAGTGCCCGCAGGGCAGGGCTGAGCCGTTGCTCACAGCTTGGTCTTGAGGCAGTGGGGCGAGTGCAGTGGCTAGATAGGAGCAGCCTGACTTTGCATTGGCAGTGCTGGCCCTGGCTTCTTTCAGACCTGCTCTCTGAGCCCCGCACTGAGGGTTTGTTCCCTCCCACACTCCTGTGCTGAGGACCCGGGGAAATCCAGATCATTTCATCTGCCCCCCATTTTACTACATCTGCCAGAGGTATCCCTCAGAGCTGCTTTTCTGGTGACAGAGATTGGCCCTCAGCCCAAATGGGGCTTCCTTAACGTACATTAGGGACTGCGGGATAACTACCTTTCCTCCTGTCTGGAAGAAACCAGTTTCTCCCTTGGTTTGGTTGCAGACTTGATAGCATAATATATATGTATATATATAGTATTCCTCATACAGTGTTTGTACATAGAATTCACAATTATATTAATGACCAGTTTATCAGCAGCTTTCATTTGATACCTCACACAGCATTCTATATAGATAAATACTATGACAACAATGCGTTTGGTGTAGTGAGTTTGTCAGGCCTGATTGGAGTTGCTGGCAGAACATTGGACCTTTACAAGTAAGCATTAAAGGGTTCCTAAGCATTAAAGGGTTCACACGCTCACAGTTAAAATATTCACCCTGCCCCTTCAAAGACTTACTGCGCTGTGGTAGCGTATTGCTGTGTGGGGAAAGCCGTGAGGGCCTGTTCCCTGGGCAGTCCTAACTGCTGTAATCCGCGCAGGTTGCCTGATGTCTATACCCAGTTCCGAAAAGCAGTGGAGGCTCAGACCAAAGTCCGTCCCACTGTACAGATGCCAGATCAACTAAAGCCTCTGGCCCCAGGGGTAGAAGACGGATGCATCCCCGTGCCTGAGGAGTTTGGACAGAAGGGTAGGAAAACGTTGCCCCAAAACAATTCAGCTGCTGCCGCTCCCATTGAATTCAGGTGGAGTTGAGGGTGTTCGACAACTCTGCAAATCAGATCCCAAGGTGTTGCATGGGGAACACCCAAAAATGGAAGCATCCCGAACTAGTGACCGCTCTTGAAAATGTGGGCGACATGTAGCTCTGCCTCTGTCTACTTATTTTTAAAGGGGAATAATTATAAAGAGTTTTGAAGCTAAATTTACTAACTTTATGAGTAATAGTATTAGTATTATTGTGGACTTAGGAGCCCGAGGCAAGAACCAGGACCCCATTGTGCTAGGCACTGTACAAACACAGAACAAATAGATGGTCCCTACTCGAAGGAATTTACAATCTAAGTAATTGGAAAAATCTTTAAATGGCTTGGCTGCTTAGGCATTAATGTAGAGATTTGCCCAACAATTTAAAACAGTCAACCAAAAATGAAATACTTTCGAAATTAACTTCCGTTTTGAAAGGAACGATCTTAGCTTTCACTTATACACACATGAAGCCACATACAGGAAAGCGGAGCAGAATGCGTGTTGGCTGAGAGCAGAGAATAGCCCCACCTAACGTCGTTACTGAGAATGGCTGTGCCATAAGCTAGAGAACGTGCACATTAATCCCTGGAAAGCCGTGTAGGATGAGCTGCTGAAATGGAACTCAGCCTCCCAGTGGTAAGTGCTTGGAGACCCCTGGACGGCAGGATAGAAGGACAAAGCACTGTCACCTCTGCCAGCGTCTCGGAATGTGTGTAGTGACATCCTCCCGCTGGATGGGCCATCAGTGAGCATTGAACGTGGGACTTGCATGTTCTAAAAGCATGTCTCTGCCGCCTGGCGTAGAGCACCTTCCAATGCTAGGAGACTCGGAGCCCTCATTTGTGGCCCTGTCGCTTAAAGGGGTTACATAGAGGAGAGTTCCCGTTCACTTGTTACAGAGACCAATGTTTCCATATTGACTCAGCAAGACTCAAACCTATAGCCCTGAAGGCAACTTTCCCTTGGTTTTTGAGCTCCCTACCTTTGAGCTGCCTCCAGTGGCTCGTTTTCACGCTAACAAGCTGGTGCTTTCCACTGCAGATCCCCTGACAGATCCGCGAACAGCCTTCCCCTGCAGCGGAGGAGAGACCCAGGCCTTAATGAGGCTGCAGCATTATTTCTGGGATACGGTAAGTGTGTGCATTTTCTTGCCGGTGTCCTCCCCCACCTCCTCCTGTCACAATGACACTCTAGCGAGGCAGGCAGCAGTTTCAACTCCCACTAGGATTTCCTTACCGCCTGTGTAGCACTCTTCCTCCATAGATCTCAAAAGGCTCTGCAAAGGAGGTCAGCAGCATCATCTCCGTGATGATGAGGAAACTGAGGCACAGAGATGCAGAGTGACTTGTCTGAAGTCACCCAGCAGGTCAGAGCCAAGAAGAGACTAGTGCCCTATCCACTAGGCCTCACTGCCTAGATTTAGACTAAGGCCCTGTGTACTCCATGACATCAGTGTAACATGATTTTCTTGTGTAGTCTATTGTGCACCAGGCCCCAGCACAGATTAGTTGATAAAGCAGAATATGTTTATCTAACCCGCTGCTGAGTGTGGGTTAGATGTCCCCCTCTGTGCCCAATCCACAGAGATATGGGTCTGTTACAGCTCTCGTCTTGAGAACCTAGGTCTTTAGCTCAAGCTGGAGGGGTTTGTGCTTTCACCTCAGCAGGGCCCCGGGGTTGGTCAGGATGGCGGCTGTCGTGTTTCTGAGACAAATAATGGGCAAACCTGTTCATTTTTCCTGTGCAGGTCGGAGAAGATTAGCTCCATCTCAGTCTTTTTCACACTTGTATAATGATGGTGGTGCTACTTATTATGGATCAACCTTTAGGTATCTGCCTTACTCAGGCTGGGTTCCCAGTTGGTGTAGAGCTGTCACAGCTAACCTTTGTACCCCCTCAGCCTCCAGCACAGAGACCATGTCAGGTCAGGAGAAGTGGCTGGAGCGTGATGCACTCTGGCTTTGTGTAGCTGGTGGTACTGGTACTCCCTTGGGTACTGTTAGCCCAGTACAAGTTAGAACAGCCCATAGGCTGCTGTAACATGCACCAGAACTGGGGACCAGACAAAAAATCAGAATGCCTAGCACCCTCTTTTATCCCCACTTTGATGATGTGGAACCAGAGAATCTGGCCCTAGAAGTGCAAATCTGGGTGGCATGGGTGTAGTGGAGATCAGAATGTGACCTGTTACCTGCAGCCATGGGGCAGTCAAAAATCAAAAGAAATTGCTTCCAATCTGATCGTCAAATCCAAATGATCAAGGGGCCAGGCCATCAGCTATCGCAGCAACTGGCTTTTGGAAATTAGTCCTTGATTCAGATTCGTTGATTGATCACTCCCAGTAGGGATCAGTGAGACCATATTACCATTGTGCTTGTAAAAGTCTACTACAAAGTAAAGCAGGAAGCAGAATTTATTACGCATACTCTAGGAGCTGTAATAAAAACTACTGGGGCCATTAAATATTGTGCATTGGAGGAAATAATTTGACAGCAGAATAATGCTGCTAGACAGTCACTAGAGGGAGCACTGCCCTGCACAAATATCTATCTCAAACATCCAGGAAAGCATAACTTGCAGGCTGCCTATATAAGGTTTTTAATTTTTTTCTTTTTTATTGCTTGGATAGAACCTGGTGGCATCTTACAAGGAGACTCGAAATGGACTGATAGGAATAGATTATTCAACCAAGTTTGCACCATGGTAAATATTCTTCCTTGATTTCATTTGGCTGTTGAAACATCAAGTTCGGTTAGCATAGATCTGTGGCTGTGTCTGAGATGCCCTTGAAGGTGGGATGCAAAGGCAGCTGTAAAATGCCTTTATCCCCTGTCCCCGATCCTATGGCTGGTTCTGTGTCCCAGGGCAAAGCTGAATAGCCTCAGGGCTGCTCCACAGTATGCCAGTTGCTGACAGCCCGCAAGGGACTGTTGTTACAGCAGGGACTTGCTGAGGAATGGAAATGCCGGGGCAGTGCCCGCTGCACTGAAAGCTGGGATCGAGCATGGAAGCCAGGCAGAGGCCATCTTCAACTGGCCAGATCTTCTGGGTTTATGGCCACCCTGCACTGCAGAAGTGGTGCAAAACAACCAGAGGACATTAGAGTATCTGATCTGTGTGTGTGTTTTTTTTTTTAAAGACATGATACTTTTTTTATGTAGGGACCATAAGCCTGATCCTGGGAGGTACTGAGTTAGCTCCAGATTTACACTGCGTAACAGAGCCAAATTCGTCCTAATGTTTACGGGGCCTTGAGGGGGGCGTGTTAAGTATTTGATCAATTAGCAAACAGTCAGGTACAGGATCACTCTGTATTAAAGACTCCCATTTCCCTGACTGAACTGCAATCAAAGCATTTTTTTTCTAGGAACATTCTTGTGTTTTATTAAAATCTAGAGAGGCAAGGTGGGTGAGGTAATGGTTTTCATTGGACCAACTTCTGTTGGTGAAAGAAACAAGATTTCAAGCTTACTCTCTCTAATATCCTAGGACCAAACCAGCTACAACCGCACTGCACATAACAATGGAAGCTATTAAAATCTGGTATTTCTCCTTTTCAAATTGGGATCTATATTCCATCTGTGAAGACTGGTGCCACCTAGTGGCACTTTAATGGGCCACTGTTTTGTAACATTAAATTAGGCTTGAATAAAGACTGGGAGTGGATGGGTCATTACACAAAGTAAAAACTATTTCCCCATGCTAATTTTTTCCCCCTACTGTTACTCACACCTTCTTGTCAACTGTTGGAAATGGGCCACCCTGATTATCACTACAAACCTTTTTTTTCTCCTGTTGATAATAGACCACCTTAATTGATTAGTCTCGTTATAGTTGGTATGGCAACACCCATTTTTTCATGTTCTCTGTGTATATATATCTTCCTACTGTATCTTCCACTGCATGCATCCGATGAAGTGGGTTTTAGCCCACGAAAGCTTACGCCCAAATAAATGTGTTAGTCTCTAAGGTGCCACAAGGACTCCTCGTTCTTTTCACTTTGTAACAGGACGTTGTTTGCATGCATTCTTATTTATTTTTGGTAGCGTCCGCAATGAGCTAAGCGCTTTCCAAACGGAATAAGGATGGTCCATGTGCTGAGGTGCTCACACTGCTCCAGAGCAACATCAGTCACCTCTCTGTGTATGTAAGAGCCGTGGGATGGCGTTTGGAGGATAAAATTATAATGGTCAAATAGAATTCCAGCCAGTCACATTTTCCTGCAGCTACCAATTGACTTCGCAGATAGAAATATTGAGCTGGTCAAACACTTGGGAAAACTTTTTGGAAAATTTCTCCATATTTTTTTCAAAATTCATCCACTTGTTAAACATTTCCACTAGCTCCACTGACTGCCCAGTCAAGATGCATTCAAATAAAATTCATATAAAGTCAAGGTAAAAGCACTTCTCAAATCCTTGTGGTTTTCACCGTTGTGTCCAGAATCAGCGTGGGGATATAAGTACCATAGATAGACTTGTATTCAAAGGAGGGTTTTCCATTGGCTAGAACAGAGGACTGGGAATTTGACGTTCTGGGTTCCATTTCTGGTTTTGTCACCGACTCACTAATTAAATCACTAAACCACTGATTAATTTGGGCAAGTCACCCAGGGCAAAATTTTCAAACTTACCTGTCTAAAGTACCATTTAGGTACTCGATGACTCCCATCACTGTGGAATCATAGAGATGAATGAGTTTCTCCCTGTGAAGGAGGGATTATCATGCCCACTGTGAAGCTGAGTCAAAGAGAGATTGCATGACTTGACCAAGGTCATTCAGGGAGTCAGTGGCAGAAATGGGAACTGAACAAAGGTGTCCTGAGTTCTAGTCCAGCATCTTAACCACAAGGCAATCCTTCCTTTCTCTCTGTATGTGCCTAAGGATCTCATTCCCTTGTAATGTTCCGGCTTTTTAAATGTTTTCCTTGTGTTTACAGGCTGGCGTTAGGTTGTATTTCACCCCGATATATTTATGAGCAAATCCGGAAGTATGAAAAAGAGAGAACTGCAAATCAGAGCACATACTGGTAGGACACAAACAGATCATCATGGCTTTCTTTCTTTGAAGTGTACACTTTTATCTAGTTTGTAGACACGACTATAAGAGGAAATGATTCAGGAGTCAGGACGACTGTTTTGATTAACATTAGTGCTTCCTGCACCTGTCTTCTGACTGCTGCTGGGCCTCATTTGAGCTTCTGTTTCTAATATTGGTTAGTTGGCTTTGTTAGATTGCATTGGGCACCAAGAGGCGTTGGTTGTCTTGTAAGTAGAAATGATCAACAATTATTATTATTACGAGGAAATAATGGTTGCTAATAAAAAGTAATAATTATAAAGTGATTCTTTCATCCTTCCCAAAGATGCTGTACAAATAATGAGATAAGTAAGACCAAACAATAATTAACAAACAAGATCATTTTGGAGCAAATGAGATTTCTCACGTCGGTAACTTGGTCAGGATTTGACCCCATATTTGAAATACGATAAAATAAAATCTGTCTGTCCTGCCTTCTTTATCAGACCTATCACCCTAGTTTCTGAGAGCCTTAACATGCAGTCTGTGGCTTCGATCCTGCAAACACTTATGCATCTGCTTAGCTATTCTACCAGGAGTAGTCCCATGGATTTCAGTGGCATTACATGCGTCTGACAAAGTGGGTATTCACCCACGAAAGCTTATGCTCCAATACATCTGTTAGTTTATAAGGTGCCACAGGACTCTTTGTCGCTTTTTACAGATCCAGACTAACACGGCTACCCCTCTGATAAGTGGCATTACTAACAGTCGTAAAGTTAAGTATACTCACGTGTGTTTGCAGGATCAGGGCCTAACTCTAGATGTAGTTGAGAAGACAGGAAAAAAAAATATTGTGGATGTTTTAAAAAAATCTTTTTTCTATTTTTGTGATTTAAAAAAAAATGTTAGCCAGCTCTCTGGCTGGTCAAACAACCAAAAAGCATCTACAAAATTTATTGTCAGAAATTGTCAGTGTTGTTTTTCTTTGTTGAAATTCAAAATTTGGATTCAAAATAGTTTGGTGGGTGGTTTCGTGCTGGCCAAAACTTAAAAAAAAAAAAAAATGTAACAAATTTCCAAAACTCATGTGCTAGTTTTTTCCTGTTTTTTTTCCAATCCTGTCTCTCGGATATCCAACAAATGTACAGCACAGATACCGTAAGGATGAACATTTCCAAGTGTGTGTGAAAGGAAATGATGTAAAAGCTAAACAGATCCCAATCACTGAAATAGGTAACACTGCTGAACACAAAGCATCTGATAAGTGTGTGAGGTTTATTTTATCTTGTTTGCGTGACTGTAGTTTTCTTGTTCAGCATTTGGCACAGTGTCCTGGCCTATAACCTAAGCCAGACTTCCAGAGAGATCTTGTGAGCAGAAACATCAGATGAGCAGAACATTCGTGACCAGCCAGGGGTTGATGCTGGTCTCAGTGTCCAGGAGCCATGGCTTATAAAACCAGCTATTTGCGCATGGCTAACAGCTGACTTTACATGCCAGGCAGCTGTGAGCACCAAGGACTTGATCCTGCTAGTTAGTCAGCACTCCTGAAAGGTGCCGAGTGCCTTCAACTCCTATTGAGGTCCGTGCTTAAACCCTTCCTCCTTCAGTAGAGCACTTAAGAATATGCACGTGCTTTGCCAAGTCAGGACCTCGGCACCTCCCAGAAATGCAGTGGAGAGCAGATTGGAAGTGGTGCTGTTCAAGCCTTGGAGTGGGGTTTGGAAAGGAATCTGCAAACTCCACTCAGTGAGGTCTTTTTCTATTTTAATCCTCATGATAAAAGTCAGGCCAATAGATTTTGTGCCTGGGCTGGTAACATGACCATGTTTGCAAAGCTGCCTGATTTAAATCAAACACGGGATGTTATTAGTGACTGCCATTAGGTAAGCAGTGGGTGAACTCCTGGCTCGTTTGAAGTCAATGACAAAGCTCCCATTGATTTCAGTGGGGTCAGGATTTCACCCAGTATTTATATTGATCAAAGGCAAAATGGTGACATGGCTGATGTGTTTTAGGGTCATATTCGAACTCCTGTGGAGGGATTACTTCCGATTTGTGGCCCTGAAATACGGGACAAGGATTTTCTTACTGAAAGGTGAGTTTAAATAGCACGCTTTGAAGGTGTGTTGATTTAAATTTCCATTCACATTGCCATTTAATAGCCTTGGTGATATCAAAGGGGTTTTATGATCCGATTGTTTGGACCGCGGGCCTTACATAGGCAACTGACCTTGTCTTCCACTTAGGGAAGTTATTATTATTGTTCTAGCACCTAGAGGCCCAAACTGAAATGGACATCCCATTGTGCTAGGTTCTGTACAAACACAGAGTTTCCTGCCCTGAACATCTTGCAACTCTGCCAGTTAGTTTAAACCCAACATTTAGGTTTTATTAAGTTTAAAGAATTGGTTTTACAAAGTCTACAGAATGGCATCGTGAGATTTAAAAAAATCAATATGAAGGGAAAAGAATTAGCCTAGGCATAAAGTTCCCGTGCCGTATCTGCACTCCCAGCACTGCAGCCTCATGCTAGTAAGGCAAGAGAAGCAGAGAACGGCACTAACTGGCGGGTTTTCTTTGTCCGTGCCGAGAGAAAAGCAAAGAGCCAACGAAGCACAGAGTACAAAGGGAATCTGATTTTTTAAAATTTTCAGTTGAAATAATCTAGGTCTTGATCTTGCTCCCCTAGCCAACGATCCCATTGGCTTCAAGGGAGCAGGAGCAGGCCCAGAAAGTATTTATAACAGGAATTTTGCTTTCGACTCTAATTTGTAATCACTGTGGGTCCCTGAAGATCACCAGGAGAGCTGCTGGGCTGGCCTGATCCCAAACTGTAGTGGCTACTACAGCTTCTCATGTTGTCATTGTGGCTTTGTTTATTCCTTATGCATGTCAGTGCTGGTGTTCCTGACACTTAGTTCATTTCCCCAACAGGACTGCAGGATAAAGAGGTGCCTTGGAAGAAAGATCCCAAGCTATTCGATGCTTGGAAAGGTCAGTCGAAACTGTGGGCCAGGGTCTGATCGCAGTTATGTGGGTGTCAGTCCTGAGGGAAGTCAGCCGAGATTTACACTGGTGTAATGCAGAGCAGAATCAGGCTCTGTAACTTAGACTCTGTTTAGCAATAAAGAGCCTTATCTTGACTTCAGTGTGAGTGGAGGATAGCTAGCAGCACTCTGCAGCCACTGAGCACCTCCCAGGCCCAGACCCAAGGTCCTAGATGCGAAAGGCCAAGTTCTGCCCTTGGAGGTATATGCACAGGTAAATGCAATGCATTTTAGTTAGATAGATCGAACCAGAGAGGAAACGGTTAGGCCCCCATGGTCCTCTCTGCTTGCCCAGAAGGCAGCCTGCACCTGCTGACTGTGACTGGGGGAGTGTAAGAAAAGCTCCCAGAAACCCCTCATGGTGTGCTGGGGTATCCATGCTGATCCCTGGGTTCCTCACTCTGCCTGCATCCTCCCCTGAGGGCATTCAGAGGTGTGGAGCAGGACATTGCAGGAGTTATCCAAACCAGAGTCAGCCAGGGGATGCTGCTGCATAGAGCTGCTTCCCTCCCTGATCACCCGCGCCCAGCGGTGTGGTGTCTGTGGGGAGGACGTTCGGTAGGCTTGAGAGAGAAGATGCTAGCTGCGGGCCGTTGTACCGAGATTTCCTTTACTTTCATCACCTCTGAGTTGGGGGATGATACGACTCATTGATTCTCCTTCAGTTCAAGTGGCAGAAGCCTGTCTTATCAGAGCTGCAGTTCTGCCCTTATGGAAAAGTCCTATAGAATTTCATAGACCCCGATAACCTCTCCATGTTTTTAATCTTTCCTGTAGAGTTTAATATTACGTACTAATATGCCAGCTATAGATTTCTATAGGAAAGTGAACAAACCTATAAAATAGATCTAATCCGCCCTTAAATTCTATAGGCCTTTAGGATCCTTTCTTTTCTTTTAGTAAATTTTTTTTTGTCATTACCGTACATGAATAGAAAATATGATCATTCCGATTGCTCAGTCATCCGTTCACGACTTAAAATCTATGAACTCATGAACGTATACCAATGTTTGTCCTTCTTAACATTAACCTAATAAATTCACATTTCCACACAAGCAGAATAAATCGTATCCATTACTATAAAAGAGTTTCCATATATCTCTCCTACTAACACCACCTGATTTAACTTGCAGATATATAACCAGCTGCCTTATATGTCCCTTCATACTGTTCCCTTTAAAAGACCCATCTGTGTTTGCTCAATTTCATTGTTTTCTCTTTATTTTGCCCAAATTGAAGACATGGTGACTATACGCTGTAAGATCTGATTGACCCTGGTGTAAGACTATCCATCACCTTCTCCACTATAACGATTTCCCATTCCAAGGCTCCTTTCTACAGAGCCCTATTTAATTTTTATAGAACCCTACTGTTATCATCTCTATTAAATTGTATGGGGCTGTTCCATATAAGAGGGTTCTATCCCTCATGTTACACATGGGTTTGGATCCTACTCACTTGATCCAAGTAGCTATCCATATATACGCAGCTGCAGATTGACTACAATTGAAAGAGTAAAGATCCTGCATCCCCGCTCTGTGTCTCTTGTCCCGGCAGAAGGAAGAACGGGGGTTCCTTTTGTAGATGCCAACATGAGAGAGCTAGCCGCGACGGGCTTCATGTCCAACAGAGGGCTCCAGAACGTTGCCAGCTTTCTCACCAAGGACCTGGGGTTGGACTGGAGGATGGGAGCAGAGTGGTTTGAGTACCTGCTGGTAAGACTGAACTCAACGTGCGATTGGGGTGGTTTGTTGTTCTCTTTGCAGGTGGCTGACAACAGGCCACCTTGCACGGGCCTTAAAGGAACAGAACTCCCTTTGAGTTCAATACCAGCTTTGCTCGAAGAAGGATCATATAATTTAGTCCGCTCTTTTTAGGGCACTCTTGGTATACGATTCAAGGACTTCGGTAAGGAAAGGGTATGTTGCCCATAGTGATGGTAAGGCTGCCATCAACTGAGATGTAGCTCTGATGCCTGCAGTGAGAATTTAGATCTTCTAATGTAATGAGAGAGGGAAGGTGGCCTTGTGGATAAGGCACTGGATCGGGACTCAGGAGAGCTGAGTTTAGTTTGTGACTATACCACAGACTCCCTGCGTGACCACGGGCAAGTCACCTGGGGCCTGATTGTCAGGAGGGCTGAGCACCCACAGCTCCAGATGAAGTCAATGGGAGCTGCGAATGCTCAGTGCTTCTGAAAAATCAGGCTCCGACCTCAGTTCCCCCTGTAACGGGGGGATAATACTTCCTTTCTCCCATCTTGTGTCTGTCTTGTCTAATGAGATTGCAGGCTCTACAGGGCACAGACTGTCATTCACTATGTGTTTGTTCAGCATCTGGCATAACAGGGCTCTGATCTTGGTTGGGGCCTCACAAGATAAATAATAGTGTAGAAAATGTTGTCTTATGTTACCTTATAAAAGCCCCTGGGAGGGAAAGATTAGACAAGGTAGCTAGTCTTAGGGGCCGATTCTGCCAACAATCACTGCCAGCCAGGCATAGTCTGGTAGAATCAGTGGGAAGCTCGAAGTAGTAGGCATTATGCCTGGTCACGTTTGTGGTATCATGGACCTTCATGTTTAACGTAAACAAAATGACATTCATAGTCAGAGGCAGGAAGGTGACTTTCTTTTAATTCACTCGCTGTTTAATAGGAGCTTCTGCTTCTCTCAGTCAGCTCCCCCAGAATGAAATCCTTCACTAGCTTTATTGAACTGAGGCTTTTCTACTTTATCTGGTCCTCCTCTGCTCTTCCCTGACCCGGAGCTTGGCAGCTGCTGTAAACCGTTCAGTTGGGAAGGTGGTTTTTCACCTCGGCTTTGGTTGTTTCTGGATAAAAAGTGCCTAAGCCCCACCACACTGAGTCGTATCTGTCTGTGCTGGGCTCATCACTGTGAGACGGAATCTGAGACTGTGAAGTAAACCTCACCCCTGGGGGCTCCTAGGTGCTACAATAATACAGGTAAATAACTATGTTTTATTAGGGCCTGATCTAAAGCCCACTGAAGTCAATGGACAGACTCTCTCTGAATGCAGTGGGCTTTGGGTTAGGCCCTTAGAGAGCACCGCTGCATTAATGCCTATGATTAAAAACAGTAACAGTGGGGCGATAGTAACTTCCTCTAACCACACCCCCAGTGGAGTGATCGAAGGTTTGTATCTTCTCTGAGATTGTCAGGACATCCCATGGGGAGCTAGTGAGCCACACAGTCACACTGCAACACATTGCCATTTTAACACATCACTGCTCCATAGACATTACAGTGTGCAAGGAAAGTGTTTGCAGTTGTGATTTGCTCACATTGACTCACTGTTGGAATTTACTTGGTGACTTTTTTGTGAGTTATTCCCCCCCTCTTTGAGTGAAGTTAATGAGAGTTGCACCCACATAATCAAGAGCAGAACCTGCCCTTCGTATATTTGTCTCGCTTCCCCATTGCTGACGTGCAGCCACCTCTGGGGTGGAAAACAGCAGCTGTTCTATGCCAGCAATGATGCATGCCAGGTGGGAAAGTGAATACCCTCTGCAGCTGAATCCAGGGATGTTAAGTAAGCAGGCATCACTGCAGTAACCCATGTGGGAATTTAGCCAGAACCCTGCCACACTTGAGCAAACTTTAAAAAAATAAAATGTTAACAATGGTCTGATTTGTTTAGGCCAATTTCTAGGGACAGGAGCCAGATCCTCAAAGGTAGTTAGGTGCCTAAATATGTTTGAGGATCCGGGCCAAAGGCACCAGAGAAATAGAATAAGCATGTATTTTTGGCAGGTTAACTTGATGTTAGTGTAGGGGTCCATATTGAAAACTCTGACTACTGAAGTCTTCTAGACAGAGAAAAGGCAATGGCTGTGTAATGAGGCCTACTGGCCCTTTAAGAGCACAGGGGGGCCAGAACAGCCCATTCCAGGTAGCTGGAATGAACAAAGGTCCAGGAAATGGCCTTGTAGTGGAAGAGAGGACCTGGTCCTGGAGAATTATAATTGGAGGGGTGGGAAAAACCCAGGGCACTGTCCCTTTAAGGGCCCTGGACCAGGAGCCCTGTAGGGTAAAGGGGAAGGGCTCCCTTCTCTCCAGCCAATCGAGAGGCACTCTCTGTAGGTGGGCAGTGTATAGACACCCTTCTCCCTCAGCACAGGGGATTTTTTCCCGTGGGTGCTCCAGCCCTGGAGCACCCACGGAGTCGGTGCCTATGGCTCCTGGTAGAAATGACTAGAGGGTGACTGTGAAGGACAGATGCTGGCAGGGGCTGAGCTCTGTGTGGGTGGCAGAAGGTCAGTGTGAACTCTCTGGTTGCAATGCTGAGTTTAGTTTTTGATGTTAAGGACTGTGTGGAACGGTTTGTGGTCATTAAGTCAGCCCCAAGGGTGGCTCTCCTCAGAAGAGAGACTGTGGAGCTCGTGAGGGGCCCTGAAGAGAGAGATCAGAGGGAGGGTGCTGCAGGGGGACCGCTGTCCATGAGGGGGTTCGCAGTAAGAGGCAGCCATGCCAGGCGGTATTGTCAGCTTCCAGCTACTGCACCTTTCCCTGAAGGCATTAGACCATTCTAGTGAATCCTTGGCATCCCTGCATAAGGGTGGTGACTAAAAGCCAACTCCCAGATACCACCAAACAGTCATGAAAACTGTTTAACTGCACGTGCCTCCCTCCCCCCCCCCCAGTCATTTCCTGGTATGCTTCCCTTCGACTCTCACCCATCCTCCAGGGGCATTGCTAAGAGCACAGTTTCACTTCGGTAGCAGTGTCTCTTATCTACATTTTTTCTCACCAAGCTGAGTTATGAAATCTGGGGCTGGGGAGCTGCTGATCTAATCTGTGCTGGTTTTGGCCCCAGAAGTTAATGGCACGGACGTGGGGGGGGGGAAAAAAAAGAAGTGAGTTCTAATGTCATCCTTCCTTTCCCACCCCGCCAGCATCATGTATCTGGCCCGTCGGCGGTAGCGTGGTTGCTGCTAGCCACGGCAGAATGTAGCTAAGTCATGGCTTCCAGGCCTGTCGTCTACAGATGAAGAAGGCGTTTCCTAACTAATGCAGCAACTTTGTGCTTGCTTGGTGCTGGCCCCCACAATGCCGTTGGCTTCACAGTGACTTACAGGAAGCTTGAAGCTACAGTAGACACAAGCTCGGCTGCAGCCTAAATTTCCATGGTTCACTTCAGGCTTGTAACACTCACAGCGCCTTGAGCTGTGAGGCTGGGCTGGGCCAGTACTTGGATGGGAACTCTGCACAAAGCGGGGTTGGTGATTCAGTTTGGTGACATTTTTGTCCTGTAAGTCAGTGCTGACCCGGTGTCCCGGATGCAGCCTCTTTCAGATGAGCCTAAAAACCCATGTCCTGAAGCCAAGCAAATGGCATTAAAAGCACTGGTGCTTTTTGAAAAAGGAGCAGTGTTAGCCTTAGTGTCCTGGACAAATTGCAGTTTGAATAACTACAGTCTGCAAAAATTCCTAGTGCAGTTTCAGGATATATATGGCATTCTGGCATTCTTCACTGCAGTGGAAAATGGGGACTGTAGTTTCATTATCCCCCAGGGTGGCTGCATTTCAGTGATGGATGAAGTGATTCTTGTATGCAATGTGCGAATTACGTGATGCATTTTGGGATCCTTTACTATGAAAGGTGTAGGATAACTAATTTCCCACACCCACACACAGCTTGTGGTCAGAACTGCACTGTGCGTAAATCATGGAATGAATAACCAAAATAATAGTTGATGATATCTGGCACTCGGTAGTGCCTTTCATTGGGGGCTCTCGAATCACTTTATGAGGGTGGGTAAGTCCTGGCATCCCCATTTTACAGAGGGAGAAGTCAGATGCAGAGAGGATGAGTTACTCACCCAAAGCCTCACAGTGAGTGAGTAGGAGAAAGGTGAATAGAACTCAGGAGTCCTGGCTTCTATGCTCTACTATAACCGCTAGATAGCATTGGCTCCCTTCAATGGAAACTTGATTTGTTTAGCATTCAAATCTTGTGGAGAACAGAGGATTCTAGCATCTTGCCCTGAAAGGACAGGGGGTCTGGAATGAACCATCCTAGGAAGGAGATTTATGGGTTACTTGTCTTTATTTATATAGATAATGTGCCCCAAGGAACAAATTTTGCAACCCCTCCCAGCTTGGTATCATCCACAAGCTTGCGTCTGATGAAGTGGGCATTCACCCACGAAAGCTTATGCTGCAATACTTCTGTTAGTCTTAAAGGTGCCACAGGACCCTCTGAAGCTTTATAAATGTAGTCTCAATGCCATTCTCAAAATCACTTACGAAGATACTGAATAGAACTGGACACAGGCCAGATCCCTGCAGGACCCGACTCAATATGCTCTTCCAGCTTGACTGCGAACCATTGATAATTACTACCTGAGTATGGTTTTCCAACCAGCTGTGCACACATCTTATCTTATAGTAGGTTTGTCTAATCTGTATTTCCCTAGTTTGTTTATGAGAAGTTCATGTGAGACAACATCAAAAGCCTTACTAAAGTTGAGATACATGACATTTACTGCTTCCCCCTATCCACAAGGCTTTTTACCCTGTCAAAGAAGGATATTAGGTTGGTTTGACATGATTTGTTCTTGACAAATTTATGTTGATTGTTACTTAACTCTAAGGGCTTGTCTACACTACCGCGGTAGTTCGACGGCTGGCAATCGAACTTCCGGGTTCGATTTATCGCGTCTGGTGTGGACGCGATAATTCGAACCAGGAAGTGCTCGCCGTCGACTGCGGTACTCCACGTCAGCGAGAGGAGTACCGCGGAGTCGACGGGGGAGCCTGCCTGCCGTGTGTGGACCGCGTCTGAACCGCGGTAAATTCGAACTAAGGTATGTCGACTTCAGCTACGTTATTCACGTAGCTGAAGTTGCGTACCTTAGATCGAATTGGGGTGTTAGTGTAGACCAGGCCTAAGAGTCCTGTGCAGATACAAAATTTGTATCCACATGCGGTCTGCAAAAATGGTCCGTGGATATTGCGGCTATAAAGCAGATATCCACAGATTTGCAAGACTCTAGATACAAAATTTCCATCTGCATCCAATCCGCAATCCGCAAAAACGGTCCCTGGATATCTGCATCCATGGATATAAAGCAGATATCTGCAGATTTGCAGGGCTCTGCTTATCTCCTTATTTTCTAGGTGCTTACAAACTGATTGTTTGATTATTTGCTCCATTATCTTAAGCTGACCGGTCTATAATTCCCTGGATTGTCCTTATTCCCCTTTTTATAGATAAGGATGATGTTTTCCCTTTTCCAGTCCTCTAAGATCTTTCCTGTCCTTCACAAGTTCTCAAAGATAATTGCTAATGGCTCAGGGAGCTCTTCAGCCAGTTCCTTAAGTATTTTAGGATGTTTTTCTTCAGGACCTGTCGACTGGAAGACATTTAACATATCTAAGTACTTCTTAACTTGTTCTTTCCCTAATTTAGCCTTGGATCCTTCCCCACTTACACTGATGTTCACTCTGTTAGTCGTCCGATCACTGCTAACCATTCTTTTGAAAATTGAAACAAAAATGGCATTTACTGCTTTGGCCATTGCTGCGTTTTCTGTTATTGTCTTTCCTTCTTTATTGAGTAATGGGCCTCCCCTGTCCTTGGTCTTCCTCTTGCTTCTAATGTATTTGTGGAATGTTTTCTGGTTGCCCTTTATGTCCCCACCTAGCTTAATCTTGTTTTGAGCCATGGGCTTTTTAATTTTGTCCCTACGTGCTTTTTTTTTATATTCATCCTTAGTAATTTGACCTAGTTCCACCTTTTGTGTGACTTTTTAAAGTTTCCCGTGTTTGAAGATCTCCTGGTGAAACCAGTGTGCTCTCTTACCATACTAGGTTTCTCTCCTACACATTGGGATAGTTTGCTCTTGTGCCCTTAATAAAGTCTCTTTAAAAACCTGCCAACTCTCCTGAACTCTTTTTCCCACGGGATCTTACCTACCAATTCTCTGAGTTTGCTATCGTCTGCCTTCTTGAAGTCCATCATCTTTATTCTGCTGGTTTTCCTCCTGCCATTCCTTAGAATCACGAACTCTGTGATTTCATGACGGCGTTCCCCCAAGCTGCCTTCCACCTTCAGATTCTCAACCAGGTCCTCCCTGTTTCTCAGAATCAAATCTAGAACAGCCTCTCCCCTAGTCACTTTCTCCTCCTTCTGTAATAAAAAGCTGTCTCTGGTGCATTCCAAGAACTTGTTGGCTAATCTGTGCCCTGCTGTATTTTTCCAATGGATGTCTGGGTAGTTGAAATCTCCTATCACTACCAAGTCCTGTGCTTTGGATGGTTTTGTTAGTTGTTTAAAAAAGCCTCATCCACTACTTCTTCCTGGTTAGGTGGTCTGTAGTAGACACCTACCAGGACATCACCCTTGTGGTTTTACCCCTTTTTATCCTTACCCAGAGACTTTTAACAGGTCTGCAGATGTGCAGAGCAGGGTAACAGTCCCAGGGATCACCTTCCCGGCAGTGTGAGATCTACACGCCAGCCTCAGCCAAGGGAGATTCTCCCCTCCATGGTCTTGGGGGAAAGTGTCTGTTTCACCAGAGGGTGGAGGGAGAAGGGTGTCGTGCCCTGGGCTCTGGAGAGGGGATGTACATGGGGAGGGGTGTAGACATGGCTTCTTGCGGGCAGTTTAAACCGCACCAAGGAGGTGTGGTGGGAAGCGAGGAAGCCCAGGTGAATGGGGGGCTCTGAGTGTGTCCCTAGAGGACAGGGGTGATCCCAGATTGGGGACTGGATGTGTTCAGGAGATCCCGGTCTATAGAGGATCCTGGGTTGGGGGTACGATGGGATCCCAGGCCATAGAGAAGATATCTCCTGAGGCGGGAGGATCCCAGGCTGTGGGGGCGGGTGTCTCAGGGGATACCGGACTCTATGCAGCGGTTCACCGTGCGGGGCTGGGGCAGGGTATGGGGGGAGGTGGGGCAGAGGCTGCCAGAGCCCCTGGGATCAGCTCACTGAACTCCGGCCCCTGCACTCGGCAATGCAGCTGATGCAAAGTCCTGTCCCGGCCACCAGAGGGAGCAGAGCCAGGGGGAGCTGTAGCCCCAGTGCCGCCCAGGGCAGAGCGAGAGATCAGGTGCCCGGGAGCAGCCTCTCTCCAGCAGTGCTGTGGAGTGAACTGCCAGGCAACCTGGGCACTGGATGTACCAGAGTCTGCTGGGATTGGGGGGTGGGGCTCGGATGAGCTCTGGATTTAAATGCTGCCTAAAGGGCAGCGAGAAACCTGGTGGGTCCCGGGGGCCGTTGCGCCCCCTGTGGAGCAGAGTGAGTGTGGCGCTCCCCGCTATCACTCACTGCTCTGGATGCTACCCCGCCCGCTGGCAATGCATACCTCTGCACTGCGCAGGGTGCCCCCCCGACCATGGTGCCCTGGGTGGTCCGATCGCCCCCATTGCCCGCCCCTAAGGCTGGCCCAGGCGAAATCAGTCATTTTCCACACAGCACTTACATTTCTCTTGTTAAAAAGTGGGGGGCCATGGCCCCTTTTGCCCCCCCTGGTTCCAACGCCCCAGCTAAGACTCACTTCAGGGAGGGAAACTGAGGCAGGGAGTGCTAAGTGCACCATGCTTGGCCAGGAGGGAGTGCTGTGGGGCGGCCACACCCTATGTCAGGGCCAATCAGTACCAGGCCTGGGCTACGTGCAGATTTTGTACTGGTGTAACTGTCGTGGGTTTTTTTTTTTTTTTTAAACCCGCAAATATTTCAAGTGGTACAACCCCTCCCACTTCCTGGTATAAAGGAGCCTTACCCCAGTATAACTTGTTCCCCTTCCTATACAGGAATAGCTATACTGGTTCAAGCACCTTTATACTGCTATAACTGTGTCCACATTAGGGGAGGTTGTACCACTTTAACGCTACCACATAGTGTTGTGTGTAGACAAGCCCCAGATGCCAGAGCAATGGCTATCTCCACAAGATTTTCTGCCCTCTGCCCTTTTCTTTCTGAGCAGCAGACCCAGCCCTTCTTACTGGTTTTCATGTGTGTTTAAGGTGGATTATGATGTCTGCAGCAATTATGGAAACTGGTTATACAGCGCTGGAATTGGAAACGATCCAAGGGAAAACAGGAAGTTTAACATGATTAAACAAGGCCTGGATTATGACAGCAACGTAAGTCTCCTGGTGAAATGTCCCGGTGCTACGTAGCTCTCTTCCTCATCTTCCCCCCCACTTCGCCCCAGCAGGTAACAAACCAAAACTCCAGCGGTTATGGAAATGGCACATAAGGTTTTGATTTGACTTCACAGTCACCTGGGTAAGATTTTCAAAAGTGTGGACCTGCAGTTACCCTTAGAATATCAGGGTTGGAAAGGACCTCAGGAGACATCTAGTCCAACCCCCTGCTCAAAGCAGGACAAATCCCCAGAGTTTTTTTTTTTTTTAACCCTAGTTCCCTAAATGGCCCCCCTCAAGGACTGAGGTCACAACCCTGGGTTTAGGAGGCTAATGCTCAAACCACTGAGTTATCCCTCCCCCTTCTTGGGGCTTGACTTCAGTTGGAGCTGCCTGGGGGCTCAGCACTCTTGAAAATCAGGTCACTCATTTAGGCACCTAAATATGGATTTAGGTGCTTACCTTTAGGCTCCCAAGTGTGAAAACCGGGACTTACTCATCTGTGGATCCTATTTATTTATTTTAAAAGCAGCCAGATTAGGCTCCCTGAAACCAATGGTAATTTAGTTTGATCTTCATTCTTTAAAGAGCAACGGTTGAGTTTGCCAGAGGCAAAAGCAGGTGCAGCTACACTGAAGTCATAGGGGTATGCTGCAGTGTGTCACCGTGCCAGCGTCCCCCAGGGTATCCCCACCGGCGTGATTATTGGCTGGAATTGTTTTTTCAGTGCTCTCTTCTCATCAACGGGGAATCCGGCAGTCTGTAACGTTGATATTTTAGCCCCAGAGCCACTTAGCCTGTTGATATTTTAGCCCCAGTGTCACTTAGCCTGTCTCCTCTGAAGAGCTGCTTCTCCGCTGAGTGGAGCTGCAGAGACAGAAGAGTGAAATGTGTTCAGGAGACAAATGTGCATGATGAGCTTATAACAAAAGAATAGCTAATCATTTGCTCAAATGCTATGGAGACAGGCAGCGGTATAAAACCCTACGAAAGCGAATGCGTGTATTGAAACAGTGTTACAATCTGAGCAGTTTATAGTCAAGCGGGTGCTGAAGAAAACTAAATGCAATAAACGGCCCCAGTGGGGAGAGTAGAAGCAGCTACTCAATAGACGCTGCTGCTAGAAAAATCCCTCGGACTGCAGGCCTTTCCTAATTAGTGGTGAGGAGGGCAAGAAGAGATCTGGCATTCAGAGTCTGTTACCTGGCTCGGGAAGTCCGGGTCTGTGGCTGTCCCCGTTACTAGCATTGCGTTTAATGACCATTTCCCCAGGTAACTGTCATATCGTCAAGACATGGTGCAATGTGTTACTCAAACACAGGCCAGCTGCATGGGAAACACAGAAATGAATGATGGGAGGGATGGAGTTGATCACCTAACACAGTAATGCACCCAATAGTGGGTTGAAACCCACAGCCATGAGATTAAAGGACAGTTACGGTCAGTTTTCCCCTGACCTTCACCTTGTGGGGGGAAGAGGGGAGAGGGGCGATCAGTCTTCCCCTTCATACTCCTCCCACTACTAATGAACCAGAGTTTTGGAGGAGATTAACTCAGCCCCCACTCCATTCCCCAGCTTCATGGTGTCCTGGAGAGGCTCCCCTTCCTACCCAGTAGCAACCCCTGCTGCCTCCTGTGTGATAGCAGGGAGTGGGGCTTATTTCTGGTTTAGGGACAGAAGCTCCCAAGGACTCTAAATATCCCCAATTGAAGCTAATGGGAGGTGCACGTATTTGGCATCTCTGTAAATCAGGCCACCTACTCAGATGCCTACATATGGATTTGGGGGCCTAACAGAAGGCTCCCGGGTTTGAAAATGTTGGCCCTGACATAACAGTGCCTCCATTTTCCCACCTGAAAAATGGGGCTAATGTGCAGGGCCGGCTTTAGGCCGATTCGCCCAATTCCCCGGAATCGGGCCCCACGCCTTAGGCGCCTTTTTAATTTTTTTTACTAAACCAAGGTCTGCTCCGGGGTCTTCGGCGGCCTCGCTCTCCTGGCTGGAGCTCCAGCCGGAGCGCGGCAGTCCCGCGACCCTGGCTGGAGCGCAGCAAGCCCCGCGGCCCCGCTCCCCTGGCTGGAGCTCCGGCCGGAGCGCTGCAAGCCCCGCGGCCCCGCTCCCCTGGCTGGAGCTCCGGCCGGAGCGCTGCAAGCCCCGCGGCCCCGCTCCCCTGGCCGGCAATCCGAAGTGCCGCCGAAGACTGGGAGCGCCGCCCGGTGAGTACAAGCCCCAGGAATCGGGCCCCGCACTTGCCAAAGCCGGCCCTGCTAATGTGTCCCCGTTTCACAGGGCTTCATTCTTTACGGTTAATAAAGCACTTTCCCATCCTTGTCTGGAAGGAACTGTAGGAAGTCAGATTATTACATCCTGCTCTATTGGTGTGAGTGAATCCCCCTGAACACCACTGTTTCCATTTGCAGGGAGATTATGTCCGACTGTGGGTTCCGGAAATACAGTGTGTAAAGGGAGGGGAGATACACACACTCTGGGCACTGAGCAATGCAGCTCTCTCACAAGCTGGGATAGCTCTAGGGGAGACCTATCCACTGCCAGTCGTCCTGGCCCGGGAATGGAGCAGACATATCAACCAGAAGCCTGTAAGTACTATGAAGTTTCAACTGAGCTAGGGAGTTTGTTGTTTCTTGCTCTAAATATGGGTATAAATTCTGCAGCTCTCTCCCATTTACACTTGAGAAATAACTAGAGAACGGGTTTAATCCACATCATTTAAAGGGTCCCTGACTGGGCACAACATTAATTTTGAATGAACACTTGATATCCATGTAACTGGAGTGTGAGCTGGATTCTATTTTATTCTGACTTGTGCATCTATCACAGCACTGCTTACTAAGTTCTGGTCAGTCTGTGCCTGTGCAACCCCATTGAAAGCCATGACGTTTCACAGGTGTCTCTGAACGTCTAATTTGGCCTGCAGACACCTTATGATAGGTGATTGTGTATGAGGAGAAAAGAACCCAGCTTGATTCTCAGATCCCAGGAGGAGTCTGTGGGGCTGGCAGCTAGCAAGAATACCTTTTGGACTTGTAAACGGAGCACATCTGATCTGGAATAAGAGACCCATTAAACAGGGGACCACAGGAGGCCAATGGTACTAACATGCTTTTCAGAGTGGATCTGCCTTTTAGAAAATGCAGCAAAACTAACAAATAAAGGGCTCCGTCTTAGGATTGAGTGCTGCCAACTTCCATTTGCTGACCATGCTGCTGCTGTTGTGACCCCATAGCTGTATATTTCATCTCACAAGTTTTCATTACTTTGTTCCCCTACCTATATCTCTTGTCGCAGGACAGTTTGATTCTGTAGTGTAATAAACCAAGTGCAAGGATGAAACTAGCCTTCATGTAGGGTTTGGGTACCGAGGGCCCAACTCCAAATTTCTCACTCAGGCAAAACTCATGACATTAGTGAGATCCTTTTTCTGAGTAAGGACCTCTGGCTTTGGCTCTGAGAGTTAGAATAATCAGTTCTCTTTTATTTCAATGTGCAGTCGAGATCAGACAAGTGACTGACGGTCAATAGCTCCTTGGCTAGTGGCCCTTGCTTGTGTGGGGAGAGGGGAAGGGTGATCATTTTTCAACATGAACATTTTAATCCAATTTTTTTTTTACTTTTTGTAAAGTGAGATGGGAGTCACATTTTATCTCTCTCCCCCTCCTCAGCATGCTTCTAGCTATCTCAGGAACTTCTGTGCCCCTATCACCATAGTATCTGGGCACTGCACAATCACTAATGTATTTTATGTATTACAACACCCCTGTGAGGTAGGGAAGCACTATTCTACTGAGGCACAGAGTGACTTACCCAAAGTCACACAAGAAGTCTGACAGAGCAGAGAATTGAACCTGTCTCTAAGCCAGCATCCTAACCACTGGATCATCCTTCCTTTCTGCTTCTCATCTGGCTAGAGCTGCAACGTGTTACCCTTTTTTCTGATGGCTGTGAGATGTCTCGATTGCTTTATAACATAAAAACCAGACTTTCTTTTAGCTTCAATCAATAACTTTCGCTACCCTTCTGTCAATTAACAGAACAAGAGAGACCACCCTCCGAAGGGAAGGAAAGATCCCTCCGACACGCCAAGGCAACACAAGGACAGAGGGGTGGACTTTTACTTCTCTCGCAACAAAGATTTATCGTGAAGGCAGTCCCTGCACTTCTGGAGAAGTGACTGATGTGGCTGCCGGCTGAGCACTCAAACTGACAGTGGTTACTATTTATGGCCAATTTCTCTCTCGTTAATATCTAAGCAAACCAAAGGTGACATCCTGGACACATTGAAGTCAATGGAGTTTTGCCATTGACTTCAACTGGATCAAGATTTTTGATCTCTGATCTTTAGGAAATGGTTCTCTATGAGCCAGCTGATTGGGATTCAGAAGGGAGCTGAAGTTCTTGGTCCTTTGTACTTTTAAGAATCCCATGACACCTTTAACAAGAACAGGGGTGTTAACCTTGTATTCTGGCCAAATTCAAGTGGGTGGAAATTACACCACTGAAATGCCCCTCAAAAATTAACTGGATGTACTAAGGCCAGATTCTCAGCTGGTGTAAATCAGCATAATTCTATTGAAACCAGTTAAGCTATACTGATTTACACCAGCTGATGATCTGACTTAGTATTCTTCACTTCCTGCTTTAAACTGTTGCTGTGAGCTGTTAGGCAGCTGATGTGTTCCATCCCAGAGATGGGTGATGAGTGACGCAGCTGATGTGTTCCATCCCAGAGATGGGTGATGAGTGACTTGATACATTAATTATATATGGGGATCACTTAAGTTTGTAAAGTGCTTTTAGTTGAAAGGGGCTTCATAAGTAGTAATTATTAACCATAACGGTAGGGTCATCTTGTTATTGTCAAGTGGTCAGACTGCTTTTCCAGTGCCTTTGCTTTGTACTGGGGCTTATAGTTATTGGAGCCAGATTTCTACCTTGTATTACAGACTGGAGAAGGTGTTCACTTTTTTATATATAGGAAATATGTATACTGAATGTGCTTATGCTAACGTGCCTTAGAGTGTAGAACTTAAAAACATTGATCCATAATACAACTTAAACCTTTGCATTGGAATGTTTTTACTTTCCTGATTTCCACTCTTCTGATAGAGATCAGAAGGCAGAATGACTGATCTGAGGTGCCAGAATCCTGTTCTCTTTGACTGTATCCTCCATAGTGCTTTAGAAAAAATAGGTTCACCATGGAATCTGATGTGGGGTGGGGCACTGTGGTAGTTTTGTTTGCCTGTGGCACCAGCCTGAAAGTTTGATGCCATATACAGCACGCAGATCAGTTTCAAAACATTGCTCTATGCTCAGTAACGGCAACCAGTCCTATTCTGGGTCCATTTTAAACTTCCAGTTCTTGTCCAAAAAGTCTTAAATGGTTTATCTTGGTTGCTTTAGAGCAGTGGCTCTCAATCTTTCCAGACTACTGTACCCCTTTCAGGAGCCTGATTTGTCTTGCCTACCCCCACATTTCACCTCACTTAAAAACTACTTGCTTACAAAATCAGACATAAAAATACAAAATTGTTACAGCTCACTATTACGGAACAATTGCTGACTTTCTCACTTATAACCATATAATTATAAAATAAATCCATTGGAATATAAATATTGTACTTACATTTCAGTATATAGAGCAGTATAAACAAGTCATTGTATGAAGTTTTAGTTTGCACTGACTTTGCTAGTGCTTTTTACGTAGGCTGTTATAAACCTAGGCAAATATCTAGATGAGTTGATGTACCCCCTGGAAGAATCATTAAAAAGGGGATAGAGAATAAGAAGGAGAATATATTATTGCCCTTATATAAATCGATGGTACGCCCACATCTTGAATACTGTGTACAGATGTGGTCTCCTCATCTCAAAAAAGATATACTGGCACTAGAAAAGGTTCAGGGAAGGGCAACTAAAATGATTAGAGGTTTGGAACGGATCCCATATGAGGAGAGATTAAAGGGGCTAGGACTTTTCAGCTTGGAAAAGAGGAGACTAAGGGGGGATATGGTAGAGGTATATAAAATCATAAGTGATGTGGAGAAAGTAGATAAGGAAAAGTTATTTACTTATTCCCATAATACAAGAACTAGGGTCACCAAATGAAATTAATAGGCAGCAGGTTTAAAACAAATAAAAGGAAGTTCTTCTTCACACAGCGCACAGTCAACTTGTGGAACTCCTTACCTGAGGAGGTTGTGAAGACTAGGACTATAACAGGGTTTAAAAGAGAACTGGATAAATTCATGGAGGTTAAGTCCATTAATGGCTATTAGCCAGGATGGGTAAGGAATGGTGTCCCTAGCCTCTGTTTGTCAGAGAGTGGAGATGGATGGCAGGAGAGAGATCACTTGATCATTACCTGTTAGGTTCACTCCCTCTGGGGCACCTGGCATTGGCCACTGTCGGTAAACAGGATACTGGGCTAGATGGACCTTTGGTCTGACCCAGTACAGCCGTTCTTATGTTCTTATGACCTCTGAGGACACCCAGGATTATGTGTATCCCTGGTTGAGAACCACTACTTTAGAGAGCTCCTTCCTCTCACTGTTCCCTAGCATGGTGTCTTCACTCCCCGAGGAGCCCAGATTCAAACATGTTGAGTCTGGGAGCAGGGCACTCTCAGTGGAGGGCCCTTGGTTGACTCTGGAGTTCATTACCACCAGGGATCAGATTGAGCCACAACTCTACCTATAAGAAAACTGCTCTGGTTTAAACATCTCAGTTTAAAATCCATCTAATTAAACTGGTTCAAACCCCTAATGTAAAAGCCCTTAAACCAGATAAGCCCTTGCATAAACTGGTTTAGCGTGTATTGGTAAATTACTGACTTGATCTAAACCCATATGTATGTCTCACACATATCCTAGGTTGAATCCCTGCTTTAAGTGCTAAATGGAACTAAATCCTAACTATGGAGCCATGACTGGCACCTCCATATAGCAACGGTTAAACCAGTTCGTGGGCATCTACACTAGAGGCTTGCACCAGTTTAACTAGAACAATTTTTAAACGTACTTAATTAAACCAGGGCACTTTCCTAGTATGGACAAGAACTAGGGCCTAGTCTACACAAAAAAGGTTTGACGTAGCAATAATGGCAAACCCTCCTAGTAGACATGCAGCGCATACTGGCAAAAATTGCTTATGCGGTATAGCTTGTACTGGTTCCCGTAATCAAATAAGCTATAGCACCAAAAGCACTCTTTTGCCAGTATGAGCTGCATCTGCATTAAGGCATTTGCTGGTATAAAAATGCCATGATAGTTTAATTGACTTGACTATACTGGCAAAATTTTAAGAGTAGACTTGGCATAGGTCTGGTAACCTTTAGGGCAGATTGCAACATTCATCTCTTTTCCCCAAACTTCCTCCTAACAAATGAATTGTGTAGCGGCTCCTGCAACATTGCTCCTGGAAGTAACCAGCCATGTTTAACCTTGTATAATGGGCTTTTATCTGAGGGGAGGAGAGTTTAGTTCCTTTCCCAGGAAGACCCGAGGCACTCTACCCTCTGGCAGTGGAGTCCCACCTTTCCAGTCTGAGGCTGATTTCATTGGCAGTTCTGTCTAAGGCCAGGTCTACACTAGAAACTTTTGCTAGTCTGGGAATGTCAAGGAGGGGGGTGATTTATTTTTTTAAGTCTGTGTGTGACATTTTTATCCTGCCAAAGCCCTAGGGCCAGATTCTTAAAGTTATTTAGGAGCCTAACACCCATCGATTATCACACTGGGAGTCAGGCATTTAGATACCTTTAAAAATCTGGCCCCTACCCTAGACAGAGTTATACCAACATAGAAGTGCTTTTGTTGGTATAACTTATTTTGTGTGCAAAATCAATATGTTATACTGGCACAGGCACTCTTTGTTATGGGTATAAGCTGCATCTACCCTGGGATCTTTTGACAGCATAGCTGTGCAGGAATAGCTCTACTGGCAAACCTTTTTCCCGTGTAGACATGGCCTCAAGTAAGTGGAGTTGAACAGGGAATTAATGCTGTAGATGTGAGAATGCCCCCTCATTGGCTGGAACCCAATCCTATTAAAATCAATGGGAGCTGAAACAGGCCCAAAATGACAATAACATTATTTGACAAATGAGCAGGAGCATGTATGATATATTCAGTTGCAACCTTGTACGTGGAACGCTATCACAACAAGCTGTTGGATATGTATATTAACGTTAATTTGATGGTCTGTTCCAAACATCACCTCCATTTTCACTCTAGGAGAAACGTTAGGTGTAGTGAGGGGATGAGGAAGAGACGTGGATGAAGAATCAAAGTTAAGACAAAGTGCAAATGACGTTAGTGAAGACGCTTGTTGCAGAATCAAACCCCCATATGCTCTGAATGTCACATAGCTGTTCTGAAAAAAAAAAACCACAACACCACACTTTGAAATTTATCTTAAACTCTGATTAAAGTACAGTGTATTCATTATGGAGGACTCAACTGGTCCTGGTCCTAAGGAGCTTGCATTTTCTGCCAACAATGTAATTCAGACATAGAAAGCATCAAGATGGATTTAGCACACAACAGCACAGGCTTTTTCCTATCTCAGGTTTTTATTAGAGGCAGGGCCGGCTCCAGGCACCAACTTGGCAAGCAGGTGCTTGGGGCGGCCACTCCGGAGAGGGGCGGCAGGTCCAGCTATTTGGCGGCAATTCGGCGGACGGTCCCTCACTCCCGCTCGGAGCGAAGGACCTTCCGCCAAATTGCTGCCGCAGATCGCGATCGCGGCTTTTTTTTTTTTTGGCTGCTTGGGGCGGCCAAAACCCTGGAGCCGGCCCTGATTAGAGGGCATTGTTGGTGGGACCTTCCACCCAGACATCTCTGTGGGGATGGCAAGGGAGCCCATTACTGAGGCGATGGCAGCATGGGAAGGCGTGTGTGTGTGAGAGAGAGACAGAGAGCGCGAGCACAGAAACAAGCTAGCCTGAAGTCAGGGAGTTATAGACCGGAGGGGGGACGGAGCCTTCAATTGCCTTATGTATAGATGTCCCCTACTAAAACCAGCACTCCGAGCAGTAGCCTCTTGGTTTGGGATGAGCAGGAGATGCTGGTGCAATTCCCAGCTCCATCCCAGCCTTCCTATGGGATTTTGGGTAGGTCACTCCGTCTCTCTCTGCCCCCTCTGGGGCATGGGGCTAATAATGCTTCCTTTCTCCCACCACCTGCCTGAGCTCACACGCTCTCTCCATGTTCATGCAGTACCCAACAGAATGGGAGCCCCAGCTTGGCCCCTAATACAAATTAGCTTGATCCCAATAGAAATAATGCCATCAAAGCATCACTCCGGAGTCTAGGCCTTGGTGGTGTTCATATTGCATCCCTCTTGGGCTGGGGCATGGGAAATGCAGGCATCTCAGTGCAAGGATGGGGGTGTCTGTCTGTCCACAGAGGTGGGAGTAGAGAAGTGGGTTTAGGGGATGGGTAGAGAGGTCACCAGCTGCCCCCTGAAAGGTGAGGGGAAAGGACTGTGTGGGTGTGTCTGCTGCCAGGCTGGGGCAATGGGAGTGTCTGGCTCTTAGGCCAGTGGAGAGCCAGCCCCTGTCAAGTTTTGTGGGGAAAGGGGAAGAAGTTAGAAGAATGCCCTCTCCAGGGAAGGGGGGCCCTGACCCCCTCCCACACTGAGAAATAGGTGTCTGTCTGTTTGCTCCCAGGGAAGGTGTGTGGGGGACTGACTGGCTGCCAGGGCATCCTGTCGGTCCCCTCTTGAAGGGGACGGGCCTGTCCCTCTGTTCCTGTGGCTGTGGGGGTGGCTGGCTGCCAGGGAATTCTGTCTGTCCCCAGGGCTGTGGGGGTGGCTCGCTGCTATGGGGTCCTGTCTGTCCCCAGGACTGTGGAGGTGACTGGCTGTCGGGGGTCCGGTATGTCTGTCCCTGGGACTGTGGGGGTGGCTGGCTCTTGGGGCTCCCGTCTGTCCCCGGGACTGTGGGGGTGGCTGGCTGTTGGGGGGCTCTATCTGTTCCCGGGACGGTGGGGGTGGCTGGCTGTTGGGGGGCTCTGTCTGTCCCCAGGACTGTGGGGGTGGCTGGGTGCTATGGGGTCCTGTCTGTCCCTGGGACTATGGGGGTGGCTGGGTGCTGGGGGTCACGTCTGTCTGTCCCCGGGACGGTGGGGGTGGCTGGGTGCTATGGGATCCTGTCTGTCCCCGGGAGTGTGTGTGTGGGGGTAGCTGTCGGGGGTCTCGTCTGTCCCGGGCCGTGTCTGTCTCTCCGGGCGCGGGGCTCCTGTCCGGCCCTTCTCGCCCGCAGGGGCGGCTCTGCCGGGCCGGCCGGGCAGCGCGGTGCAGCCGGGGGCGGGGTGGGAAGCGAAACCCGCGGGGATCCGGGGCGGGAGCTGGAAGTTGCGCAAGCGGCAGGCGGCGGATCACGAACCATGGACGCGGCCACGACCGGCTCCGGCTCCCCCGGGCCCGGCTCCCCGGCGCCCCCCGACCTGGAGGCGGTGCCGCTGGTGGCGCTGAACTTCTCGGTGCGGCGGCGGCTCGGGCTCTACCTCAACCCGCGCGCCCCGGTGGCCGCCGACTGGACGGCGCTGGCCGAGGAGCTGGGCTACGAGTACCTGGAGATCAAGCACCTGGAGGCGCAGCCCGACCCCGCCGCCCGCCTGCTGGAGGACTGGCCGGGCCGCTGCCCCGGCGGCGCCACCGTGGGCCGCCTGCTGGCGCTGCTGCGGGCCCTGGGCCGCCACGACATCCTGGCCGACCTGGGCGGCCGCATCGGTGAGGGCCGGGCGCTGTGGCCGGGCCCCGCTCCCTAGGCCCCGGCGCTTCCTCCTGTGTCCGTCTCCGCCCTGCTCCTCCCCGTCCCCTGCGCCCCCTTAGTGCCCCTTCCCCCCCCGGGTGCCCCCTAGCCGAGCCCGGCGCCAGCCCTCCAGCCGCTGCCTGGCCAGGGGGCGCCCGCAGCCCCTCGTGGGTCCGGCTCTGCCTCCTCCCTTCCCCTAGGCGCGGGGCAGAGTCGGGCATGGCCCCCTGTTTGACAGCTGCTCTGCGCCCCTGGCGCTGGACTCCTCCCCGGGCCTGGCGGGTCGCTGCAGGGGCTTGGGCGGCTTGTAACTAGGGTGACCAGACAGCAGATGTGAAAAATCGGGATAGGAGGTGGGGGCGGTAATAGGAACCTAAATAAGAAAAAGACCCCAAAATCGAGACTGTCCCTATAAAATCGGGACATCTAGTCACCCTACTTGTAAAAGAGGAGAGTGGCCTTTGGCACAGCCCTCTTGGGGGGCAGAGGCTGCGCGCTTTGATGGGGCACAGTTCAGACTGGTCGCTGGATGACAGTCTAAATAGGTTCTGGTTACATTATAGGATACCTGCTTCATGGGCTGTACAGAAAGAAAAGCACCCTGGAAGCAATTATAATGCATTGCCCCCTCCCCCTCCCACGAATGAATAGTTTAGTTTCTCTTGGTGCTGGGACAGGATCTGTTCAATCTGCAGAGACAACTGGAAAAAGAAAGTTCTGGGAGTTTTGGTTTGGTTTCCCCCCTGAAATTCAACATTAGTCAATGTTAAAACTCTGATGTAACCATGGCCAGGTTTTGAGTGTGAACTGCTAATCTGAGGTGGGTTTAGTTTCGCAGTTCTTGGTGGCTGACTTTCTTTATAGCCTTGTCATCATTTTGAGATTTGCTAGTTAATTTCAAAGCCTGATCTAGACTGATAGGTTTAAGCGTCACTGTCAGCTTGTTTAGGTCCTGAAATGTAGCTTTGTTTGGGAAAGCTAAAACCTATGTGGCATCTGTAGAGAATTATAAATAATACAGGGATACTGCATAAGATACAGCTTTCTCTAGGAAAATAATTTTTGGGGCCTAACCATAGTTTGAGTGGTATGCTTTTTGTTTTGCTTGTTGCTGTTCTACTCTGAAAACTGATATTGCAGAGTTACATATTCATTGTGCTTCTCTGATTGTTTTTTCATAGCAAACTTGCTCAGTTTTCAATGGGAAAGAGAGAGCCTCACATTTTTGCTAGTTACCAGCCCTGCAAATTCACCCTGCATCCTTTCTGTCTTGCATGTGATCTCCAGTGGTATAAATCCTGCAGGTCAAATGATGCCTTTGGCAACATTAGCCATGAGATGGTTTGCCCAGATATCATGGAGGGCATGACCTGAAGGTAATGGGGTTGGACTGAGGGTCTGATTTGGCTAGCAGAACCTTTGTTTCTGGTGTTGATCCATGGGATGGAGCCCAGCTTGACTGTCAGAGCCCAGCCTGAATTTGTGGACCTGGCAGTTGTGTGGGGTGGGAATTATTTTAAAACTGACCAAACTTCAGGAGCCAGTGAGAAATAATAAATATGGAACCCCACAGAGCCATTTTTACAAAGCATCCTTTAAGATAGAACCATGCTTTACGGGAACCCAAATGGCACTACCTGGAAATGAAGTTTTATCACCTAAATATTTCTGAGGTCACTTGACTCACAAGTAATGCTTGACACTGAGGGTCTACAAGCTGTGCATTTTCTCGGTTTCTGGTGGGGAAGTGAGAGATCTCACTTCCTGTTACTTGCTGATGAGAAATCAAGATGGAGAACTTCAGCACTGCATCTTGCAAAACACCGAATAGGTAAACCAGTGATCTAGTGTAGAGATTCTCACGGGTAGAGATTCCCACTGGGTCCCTCCTCCTACTTACACATGTATTTTGAGGACCCTCTGCTGCTTTTTTTTTTTTTTTTTTTTTTTAAGGGACCTGTTATCAGTGTTATGCCTGATGAGCCTCAGTCTATTTTTTCCCCTTTCATTTGAGGCCCATAACAAGCAGCAGAGACTTCTGGCTGGGTGAGAAGGTTTGAACTTACAACCCAAATGAAGCTAGCTGCACTTCAGATGCTCTGCATTCTGGCACTGATGCTCTTAATTCAGGAGCTGACTTTTCAGTTCTTCTTGCCACATTAACACCTACACTTTTGTTCAGGAAGAGGCACCGACTCTGAATCCCTTTCAAAAGGGAATATAGAACCAAATGGTTTTAACTGGGAGGGACCTGAAAGTTGAGGAGGCTCCCAGCTGAGAGTCACATTGAGAAGTTCGCCTGGAGACTACAGCTTGGGTCTGATCCTGTGCTACTTACTGAGCACCCTAAACTCTCATGAAAGTCAGTGGGAGATAATTGCCCTCAGGATCAGGTCCCTAACATGCATTTAAAAAATGGAGGATTGCAGCCACCCATATAGTTGGTACTGAAATTTGGGCTTTAAACGGTGCTGCTTCTTGATCTGAGTGGCCTGGTTGTGTTATATGTTGGGACTTAAAACTCTTTGTGAGGCACCTTTGCTGTTACAGCACATAATTGATCCATAGCTAAGTCCCTTTGTTTTCAGTTTAAACCGATTTTTACCGAAAAATCATGGGGTTTACAAAAAGTATTAGTCATTTTTTTCCGATTTTCACCCTACTTTTGCATCATTCAAATATATTTTAAAAGCTTGTTTTATTAGGAAAATACAATACATTGCATGAGATATATGTATTATGATCACACAGTCTGTGTGTATATGCAAAGCTGCCCGTTGAAATAAGGCTATGTATTAGTCTTGAAAAGACAGATAATAAACCAGCAGGCATGCACGCACGCAAGCTCTGAAGTGTGTGCGCATCTGAATGTACTGATGAATCTCACGCCCATCACATACACATTTCATGCTGTTAGTAGATAATGGTTTAAAGATTTGACACACGAAAATGGGAAGAAAAGGAAAATCTGTATCAGAATACGTTTCAGAGCACAAGGAAGTATTCAAAAGTAAAAAAAAAAAAAAAAAAAACAGGAGAAAAGGATGAAGTTGAGTGTATGCGCTGCAAATGGTGCGGCCCAGTTATTAAATGTAAATATTTATAGGCTAAGAGTTCTAAGTCTACAACAGCAAACTGTTCAAATAAAAAGTTTTATTTGGGACTTAGAGATGTATTGTTTTCTTAAACTCAGAAGTGGCATTGTGTTTTGAGTTCTGTTTTAGCTCTGCAGCAAACCATTCATCAGAGCATTAATCTACTGAATACTTTTTCCCTCTGTCCTTCTGTCCATCACAATAAACCCCGATATTTACCCATAAAAATTATTAATAGTTTTTTTGCACCAATTTTCACCTGTTTTTGTTGTGGTAATAAACACCTATAAATTCCTGGGGGAAAATAAATCAAATAAAAACCAGAACTGAAGGGCCCTATCCATAGCGTAGAATTCCAAAGACTGCATTTGGTCTGTGGCATGCACTTCAGAACCAACCCCTCTTTCCATGCAGTCGTGGGTCCACTGTTCCATCCCAATCCATTATAACAACAATACGTATCATCATTCCTAAAGAGGTGGTGTCTAGTCTAGCCTTAATATTTCCCTTTCCAGCAATGACGATTCTGCCTCCCTTAGCAGCTTTTTCCACTGCCTGATTGTCCTTAGGGTTGCAAAGCTATTTACCTTGGTGTGTGTGTCCCAAATCTTCCCTGCAAAAGCCCATTGCTTTTTGTTGCTTTCTTGCTGACTAGTGACAAAAATTAGTACTTGTCTGCTTAATAATTAATCTCCCTCAGTTGTCTTTTTTTCCCTACCCGGAACATGCCCAGTTCATCTACCCTTTCCTCGTAGGGCTTATTTGTTTATACTTTTTGCTGCACTCCTTCAGCTTCCCTTATGCAAGCCATAATTCATTTCAAGATCAGAGCAATGTCATATGCCTTATATTGAGGTTATCTGCATAGACTGTATGGGGTTTATACAACTGCATGGAACTCAGCCATTTCAGTTTGCAGGCTTCAGGCAGCCTCATCGAGTTGGTTTTGTTCTTATTGGTTCAGACCCCTTGATGGTCACTTTGACATTGTGCCCTAATTAGCACATGACTCAAAGCAAAACTCTTTCAATATTTCCTAGTATGGAGACTGACCCATGCAAAACTACTGGAAACCATTCATCAGCTCAGGTTGACTGGAAAAACCTCATCTCAATTTCAGTGAAATTGGCCTCAATTTTGTATTTGTAACAAAGCTATGCGGGTTTTATCACGGTTGGTGTGTCATTCTGAAAGTTTTGCCTCAGTCGGAAGCTTTCACTCTTGGAGATGGATGGGCAAAAGGATTAGCGCATGTTTGCATCATTAATGAAATCATCTGAAGTGCTCAATAAGTGTGTATGGCCCAGAACAGACTAATCAGGAGAGAGCACTTGTTTTCATGAACATGGTGTCAGAGCCTTGAATTAAATTCTGATAAGGAACTGGAAAACAGTCTAGAGAAATTCAGATCAGGCCTCTCACTGTAGATTCCATTTATATAATGTGGGGGGAAATAACCTATTTTTTACAATGTTTGTTTGCCATATCATGCACCCAAAGGACTTGTTTTCATCCAGTCCCTGGTACTTTCCCTCTAAGCTCTCTGAATAGCTCTGATTTTTACGCTTGGTCTCTTTTGTTGTTTTTCTTTACCCAGCTATTATTTTAAAATATGTCATTACTTCCAGTAGATTCCCTTTCCTGCTATTTCCAGTCCCTCGGCAATTGTTCTCATCACAAAGACCAGCCTGTATAACACACCAGCATAGCTAAGAGCCCGAGGTTTTTTTGTAACCCTCCAATGAAAGGGTTGCATGATGTCTGATGAAAAAATATACATTTAAAAAATAACACACAACAATATTTCAGATCAGTTTGCTTTTCTCCATTTGTGCTTTCTGTTTGCATTTTGCACTTCCACTTGGGAAGTGGAAAAAACACTAGTCAGTTTTAGGGGTGTTGGTTTTTTTCTAATAGTTTCAGATCTGCTTTTACTCACTGGGTCTCATGCACTAGTACAATGCTGCAATGGGTTGGCTGTATACACTACAGGGGAATTTTAAAAAACAAACAGTTACTATTTCCATTTAGATTGTTTAAAAAATAAAGTGAATGAACATATTTCTACTTGTAACAAACCTATATCCACACAGGATTTCATGGGAACTTCATAGCAGCAGTGGATCAGAGTCCAGATCTTCCTGCTCTAGAAGAACATACTACCACAACTTGAGCTAAGGGAGATTCTCCACTGGCAGTTAGTGTAATCAGCCCTATTCTGCTGTGGGTTTATCTCAGGGGTCGGCAACCTTTCGGAAGTGGTGTGCCGAGTCTTCATTTATTCACTCTAATTTAAGGTTTCGTGTGCCAGTAAAACATTTTAACGTTTTTAGAAGGTCTCTTTCTATAAGTCTATAATATATAACTAAACTATTGTTGTATGTAAAGTAAATAAGGTTTTTAAAATGTTTAAGAAGCTTCATTTAAAATTAAATTAAAATGCAGAGCCCCCCGGTCCGGTGGCCAGGACCCGGGTAGTGTGAGTGCCACTGAAAATCAGCTCGCGTGCCGCCTTTGGCACGCGTGCCATAGGTTGCCTACCCCTGATCTAGATTCTTATATGGCCTTCCTCACTGTAGTATCTGAACATCTGATTCTGCAACTGATCATCAATTCTGATTCCATCTTATAGAAGGATGGTTTAGACCAGTGGTTCTCAAACTTTTTTTTTTTTTGCGGATCACTTGAAAATTGCCTAGGGTCTCGGCGGACCACTTAATGGGCTTTCCAAATGTTGTTTGTACCGTTAGCTAACTACTAACTATTGTAAAGTGTTTTGGATAAAAGCGATATATATATATAAAAATAATAATAAAGTTTTTTTTGTTCTACACATAAAAGCACACAACTCATATATTTTAATATCAGTTGACTTACCTTTCTAATGCAATGGATGTGCCCTCTCTCCCCTGCCGTGGCAGCCCCCGAGCTGGGGCTGGGAAGGAAGGGGGTCTTTCCCTCTCTCCCCCACTGCAGTAGCCCCCGAGCTGGGGCTGGGAAGGAGAGGGGTGTCTCTCCCCCACCACAGCAGCCACAGAACTGGGGCTGGGAAGGAGGGGGGTCTCTCCCCCGCTACAGCAGCCACAGAGCTGAGGCTGGGAAGGAGGGGGGTCTCCCCCCCGCCACAGCAGCCACAGAGCTGATGCTGGGAAGGAGGGCCGGCAGCCGAAGCCCTGGAGCTGTGGAAAGACGCCTCTTTCTCTGGCTGCCGCAGCACTGCAAGTCCCAAATTCCCCCCACCCCCTCTTCTCACCCCACTGCCCCCTCCCACCTACCCCCTATTCCCTCCAAGGCCACCACCTCACCTTACATGTGCGTCTTCTCCAGGGTCCAGGCACCTAATTAGAGGAGCCACGCCTGCGCGGCTCCACTAATTAGGTTGGTGGCCCTTCATTCTCTTGTGTGCAGGTGCCCAGGCGGAACTATCCGAGGACCACCTGAATGGAGCTTGTGGACCACTGGTGGTCCACAGACCACAGTTTGAGAACCTCTGGTTTAGACAAATCCTGCATCTTGACAGAGGGTTAGGCTAGATAACCTTTGCAGTCCCTTCTAACCCTATGATTCTTAGCCAGTGGTATACACATGTGCTAGTCCAGAGGTTCTCAAACTTTTGTACTGGTGACCCCTTTCAAATAGCAAGCCTCTGAGTGTGACCCCCCCTTATAAATTAAAAACACTTTTAAAATATATTTAACACCGTTATAAATGCTGGATGTAAAACGGGGCTTGGGGTGGAGGCTGGCAGCTCGTGACACCCCCCTTCATGTAATAACCTCGCGACCCCCAGAGGGGTCCCGACTCCCAGTTTGAGAACCCTTGTGCTAGTCAGTTCATTACATTTATTATTATTAGATTTTTATGAAGACTTAAAAAAACAAAACAAAACCCCCCAAGCCTCTCAGCCCCTAGATTTTGGCCCCAAACTACCTGATGGTGTTTCGTTAAGTATTGGTTAGGGACTCAAAATGGGCAACAATGAAAGGAGAACATGGAGATGTTAAAACCTATGGAGTCACTGCACTGGTGATATTTGCATACATCGTATGTGCTGTTCAATAAGAATAACAACACCTAAATAACACCGTTTGTCCAGTCTCTCAGGGCATACTACACACAACTAATACTCCGAAATTAATTCACCTTAACGTTGTAAATCCCTTTAACTTTCAAGTCAGAATGTTGCTGAAGGACTGGGGTGCTTTTTGTATTTTGTTTAGTTACCTCTAAGCGAGTTCCCCTGTTTATTGAACCTCACCAGCATGATCAGCATCAAATGAGCCTTTTGTGTCTCTTGCAGAAGAGGACTGTAAGAAGTACCTACAGAGGAAAGAGCCGCCTCTTCAGGTGCCAGCAGTAGACAGCAGTGTTCGGAAGACATTAGAGATGTCCGGCATCACTACCAGAGATGATCCTTATGGTAAATAGCCATAGATCTATTGATTTAATAATAGCTACACGGTGCTAGGGCTTGCCTTCTATGTAGTAGACCCCTGTGAGAAGTACTGAGATCCATTCACCTCCCTTCCTATCTGTGTCCTTCCCTCAACCTATGCATATACATGACATCTTGACCAAACAGGGAGATAGGATTGAAATACTCAGGGAGGGAGGAGGGGCAGTAGGGCAAATGTAAATGAGGATAGAGAGTGGTAGTGCAATAAAGCATGTGGAACTCTGTGCTGCATGATATTGTGCCAGCACCACTTTCTGTGAAAAGCTTTCGTCTTGTCAGAGTTCATTGCATGGATCTAAATTTTCATTCATTTGGAAGGAGATCTTTTTAGGTGAGTGGGATCATGGAGCTCAGTTTACCAATTTACCAGTTTACCAATAGGCCCAGAGCCTGGAGACAGAGCCACACAGTTTGAATCCTGTGGGGCTCTCCACAGGTAAAAGCTTCTGCCTGTGTGGATCTGATTTTAGTATCTGGGCCATAGAATGCTAATATTTTCCCTACCCCACTTTTAGGGCCTGATCCTTCACTATATTAATGCAGTTTTATTCTGACGCAACTCTGCTGAAATCAGTGTTGTCATGCTGGTGTAAAACTGGAGCAACACGGTGGGGAGTCGAGCCAGTAGAGGTTGGACACCCAGTTGTGAAAAATTCTAGCCTTAAAATAAGGCACCTGAATCTGTGGTAGGGGGGAGGGATAGCTCAGAGGTTTGAGCATTGGCCTGCTAAACCCAGGATTGTGACTTCAATCCTTGAGGGGGGCCACTTAGGGATCTGGGGCAAAAATCAGTACTTCATCCTGCTAGTGAAGGCAGGGGGCTGGACTCAATGACCTTTCAAGGTCCCTTCCAGTTCTAGGAGACAGGATATCTCCATTAATTTTTTTTTTTATTTACCAAATAAATAAATAAAGGCCTCAATGAGAGCTGTAGGTGGCTAACTCAGTTAGGTCACTTATTCAAGTGTCTAACTTCTGATACCCAAGTTTGAAAATATTGGCCAGTCTTCTACCCACTAGATTTATTTCTCATATAACTCTCTTTGTGGCATGTTTGTGTTTCCCAAATCTGAGGGCCTGCCTGATGCTCTTGTAAATAATGAGTGTAGTGATGCCCCTAGGTGAACTGTCTGCAGGGACTGAAACTTAGATTTAGAAACAGGAGACTCTACTGCCTGAACCAAACAACCAGATTCATTAGCCCAAAAGCTGTAGCCGACTGAGTCATAAATCTCTATATGAAGATTAGCCACTAGAGGGGGACAGAGAGCCATAATGTGTTAATGGGGGTTATGTGAAGTTGTGAATCAAAGGCTCCAGTACCTGAAAAGCATGCAGTGGTTGAATTCAGTTAATTTAATATTGTCTGCATACAATTCTGAATGGTTCCAGGGAACACACCAGAGCTGTTTGATGCCTTCATCTGTTACTGTCAAAAAGACATTCACTTTGTCCAAGAGATGATCAGAGAGCTGGAGCAAACGGAGTTCAAGCTGAAGCTGTGTGTGTTTGATCGGGATGTCCTGCCAGGATCGTGCGTGTGGTCCATCACTAGCGAGCTTATAGAGAGACGGTGAGTGAATGATGTCTGCCGGGGGGGGGAAACTGGCTGTAAGGAAAGTATTTGTTAGATTTTTCCAATGTAAGACTTTGGGGAAGCGAAAGGAGAATTGTTTCCTTGGGACCAGATTTCCCCTCTCCTGTTGGCGAGCACACAAGATGGGATAGAGAGGCAGGGAAACTTCACAATGAAGTATTTTTGGAGTTTCCGATTTGCCATCTCCTCAAGAAGGAAGGGGTGAGGCGTCCCAAACCTGTGGCTCAAAGGACCCACAAGGAAGACCCCTCCTTATGGCACCACTGGTCTCTGTGCTCGCTTCTGCTGTTTGGATACCCTATGGTTGCTCAAAGGTAGCTGTGAAGGGGGCCCAGAAGGAGATAAAACAGCTCCCAGCTGCGTCAGCTCCCACCCAGCCAGATTTCCACACAGAAATCCAGTAGGTTTTCAAGAGACAGTGCTGTGGAGAGTCACTCTGACCCTCACCCCAGGACTCCTTTAGAGCCCTTTTCATAGAGGTCAAGGGGGAGTTGTACTTCCCCACCTCCCTCCTTATGCCCAGATGGGAGGAGATCTGTCTGGAGAGAGTGTCAGTGCCTCTGTGTGCGGGAGAATGCACCAGCACTAGTAGTTTTTTCTTTATCCAGTTGATTTTTCCACCCAGTGGAACATTATGGTGTCAGTTATCTCTCTGGGCAGCTAACTTGTGCAGAGTGCAAGCACCTTGGGGCAGCCAGGGAATTCATAAGAGAGATCTGTCTTCTGCCCAAGACACTGGTGGCGCACAGGGGAACATGCTCAGTTTAAAAATGAACCACTTCTTAGCTGTCCTAATAGCTACTTGTCTTGATTTTTGAAGGATCCTTTCAGACAGAGGGGGTTGTTATGGTAGCATCTCTAGGCTCCAGCCAGGATCAGGGCCTTATTGTGCAAGGCACTGTACAAATACACAGGCAGATGATGTCTGCTCAGTAGAACTTACCATGTAATGTAAGACAAGACATATCAGTTGAATGTGAGTAACGAATAGAAGGAGGATGAAGCTAACAGTAATGAGGTCTTGTGGTTCTGTAGCTTACTGTTAGCTAATGCACAACTTGATGGTTCCAAATCATTGTAACACTTCTTTAAAAATATACATTAATATCAGTGATACCCACCTGATAGAATAGTATGAGATCATATTGTTAAAAACTGCATCATAATGCATTCGTACAAGGGGGCTGAATTAAGGATGCACAGGTGACCTTAATTCTAGCATTCCTAACTTCTGAGTACTTGACTTTGCAACCTCAATAATGTTCCTTTTACATAAGCTTTTTGTGTGTAATATATATACAGCTGTAAGTAAAGTATCAAACACTTCAGATTTTATTGACATTAGAGCTGGAACACTGTTGCTGGTTGCATGTTTTCAGCAGAACAGTCCTATAAAATATATATTTTTCCAGCAAGCATGAAAAGCATCTCTCTTTCATTTAGTTAATAACCATTTTTTTCCCACTCTCGGTTTAATTCCAGGTGTAGGAAGATGGTGGTTGTTATTTCAGATGATTACCTAGACAGCAATGAATGTGATTTCCAGACCAAATTTGCTCTTAGCCTTTCCCCAGGTAAGAGACTGCAGATGGCCCATTAAGGGTACATTTTCCCACGACAATGTATAGTCAATGTTCTTAATTATTTGTATTTCAGTAGCATCTAAAGGCCCCAGCTGAGATTGGTGCCCATTGAGCAAGGCACCGTACAAATGCATAGTAACGGCTTGGCCACACAGCTGTTGAATCTACACTAGCTTGCTGTGCATTAACTTGCCAGGTGAACCCAGCTACCACACACTAAAGGATCCGTAGGGAGCTTTGATGTTCTCCCATTTCAAACAGCGCTACATCAAAGTGCACTATGGATCTTTTAGTACACAGCGGCAGGGTCCATCTGCCGAGTCAGTGCGTAGCAAACTAGTGTGCTGTAGATTCACATCCTGGCTTGCCGCACACTAACTCACAGTGTGGACAGGCCCTGAAAAGGAGACCGTCCCTGCCAAGAACAGCTGGAACAGACGAGGGGTGGGAAGGGCTGCAGAAGAGTAAAATGATTTGCCAATGGCAGAGCCAGGAATAGAACCTAGATCTCCTGAATCCTAGCCCAGTGCCGTACCACTTAGCACATCGTCTCGTGTGTGGAAAACCTTCCCCATGGCTAGTGCTGGCCCAGTGTTCAGTGCCCTCCACGAAAGGAAAATAAAGGGATTCACTCAGACCAAAGGATGTCATTCTTGAGAGCGATTCCTTGAGGGACAATCAGAAGGGTGGGAGTCTGATCCTATGCAGACACTGGTACAGTGATTGCTTGCTGCCCTTTAATTACCAGTGGGTGCTGCAACCTACAGTTCTGAGGGAAGTATGCTCATCGAAAAGGAAATGGTAGTAACCTAGGAAGGCCTGAAGATCTGGAAGAAGTGGTTTAGGATCAATCTACCCATTGTTTTTTGGTTACTCAAGTATCTTTTTAGATCCGCAGCTGCATCTGGATATTCCTACAGCACAGATTGCCAAGAGTGAATCCTTCCAGTGGCATATGGCCAGGAGGTTGTGGCATGTTGAATAATGAAATGGAGTGCGCTTATCAAATTTGTGGATAACGCCAAGTTGGGAGGGGTTGCAAGCACTTAGGAGGACAGGACTAGAATTCAAAATGATCTTGACTAATTGGAGAGTTGGTCTGAAATCAACAAGATGAAATTCAGTAAAGACAAGTGCAAAGTACTTTACTTAAGAAGGAAAAATCAGATGCGACGCTACCAAATGGGGAATAACTGGCTAGGGGGGTCATACTACAGAAAAGGGTCTGGGGGTTATAGTGGATCATATTGAATATAAGTCAATGTGATACAGTTGTGAAAAAGGCTAATACCATTCTCGAGTTTATTAACAGAAGTGTCGTGTGTACGACACGGGAGGTAATTGTCTCGCTCTGTTTGGCACTGGTGAGGCCTCAGCTGGAGTACCGTGTCCAGTTCTGGGCGCCACGCTTTAAGAAAGGTGTGGACAATGTGGAAGGGGAGCAACAAAAATGACAAAAGGTTTAGAAAACCTGACCTAGGAGGAAAGGTTAAAACACTGGGCATGTTTAGTCTTGAGAAAAGATGAATGAGGGGGGCCTGATGACAGTCTTCAAATATGTTAAGGGGTCTTATAAAAAGGACAGGGATCAATTGTTCTCCATGTCCACTGAAGGAAGGACAAGAAGTAATGGGCTTAATCTACAGCAAGGGAGATTTACGTTAGCTATTAGGAAAAACTGTCTAACTATAAAGGCAGTCAAACTCTCAACCAGGCTTCCAAAGGAGGTTGTGGAATACCCATCATTGGAAGTTTTTAAGAACAGGTTAGACAAACACCGGTCAGGGATGGTCTAGGTTTACTTGGCCCTGCCTAAGTGAAGGGGGTTGGACTTGATGGCCTCTCAAGTCCTCTCGCTTCCACCCCTACATTCTGCGTTCTTTCAGAGTTGGACTTCACCGCAGTTCTCCATGCCTTCATCACTAGCAGATTGGATTAATCCAGTCTGCTCAGTCGGGGCTAACCTTGTACTTCTCAAACTTCAGCTGGTGCAGCATGTTGTGCGTCTCACATGGAACGCAGCACACCCATGCCCCAGACACTGCATGCACTAGTTGCCAGTGGGTTTTTTGGTGCAGTTCATGGTACTGACTTATAAAAAGCCCTTCAAGGTTTGACTTGTGTATGTTGTAAGTGTAACCTGTTCGGGGAGATTTGAGATGCATGTTCCTGTATGCGTTTGGCTGGGGGAAAGGGTCTTCGTCTCTGGAACTTGCTGTCCTGGAGCAGGGCCTATTGAGTTACACTGCTGTAACTGAGATCAGGATCAGGCCTAGCTATATGGACCCGTGTGTGTGTGCTGCTGCTTTCACTCTACGGGGGGTGGAAAGAATGGATTTATGGGTACGATGCAACTTTCTTTACCCACATGCCTGTGTGGACTGTCTTTCAGGTGCTCGCCACAAACGGCTGATTCCAGTCAAGTGCAAATCCATGAAGAACGAGTTTCCAAGCATCTTGAGGTTCATTACGGTCTGTGACTACACTAATCCCTGCACCAAAAAATGGTTCTGGATAAGACTGGCAAAATCCCTCTTGCTTCCATGAGGCAAAGCTACATGAGCCAGGTGCCTTTTGATCCAGCACAGCTGTGCCTTCAGGAAAAAAAGAAACTCTAACTTCCAGGTGTCGTTTATACAGCCTTTCCACACGCCAGAACTTTGATCCTTGCAATATTGTGCCTGGGGCCTCCAACAGACACACAGGTGTTATCTGAACGGGGGCTTAATTGCACTAAATGGGGTGTTAATTGCAGTACAGTGGCCACAATGCACTTCTCCAGGTGGGTAACTTTAAATGACCAAAGCCACAAACCGTAGATGTTGTACACACATTTTATATGGTTTTAAACACCGTTACATGGCTCCCTTAGTGGTATCTGGGCATTGTCAGGGGAATAGTTTCTCTCTTTAATCCCTGGTGAAATCTGATGGCTGATTGCTGACCTGTGTGAAATGAGTTTGGGGGTCTCAGTGTGGTTCCTAGTGGACAAATGACAAATGCCATGAAAATCATTGATACTGGCACCCTAGTTGGTAGAGAGGCCAAGGATTGAACTACCCTTTTGTTCCCTAGAGGCAACCCCTCCAGATCCGGGTTCTAGCACACTGGAAGGGCAGTTTCCATTGCCACTGCCCAGATTGTACCTGCTCTCTAGCTATACGGACTTCAATCTCCAGGACTCTCTTTGTATTTAATGAGCATCAAATTTACTTAAACAATGTTTAAGTATCTAAAAGAAATTAACTGATCTCCCCTTATTTTTAGCAATATCTGACTCTTGAGAAATGACTGAAGTGAGTTTATTTTCTGTTTAATATTTTTTTTCTCAATTTTGGTCTTTTAAAACATTTTAGGTCATAGTCCAACCTGTTACTCATGTAACTCCCCTATGGCTGACATCCTCTGAAACAGCCTTCCGACCTCGATCAATGATTGGTTCTTCGTTAAAAGCAAAAGCCATAGAGAAACTCATACTAAATAATGAGGGTGCTGCTTGTAGCACATATGTCTGTCCGTCTGTGCACATGTTCCATTTAACTAAGTGATCACTCTTACATCAGCACTGGGAAATCATAGATCCTATAATGTTTACAACAGATCATTCTCACGTCGATGGCTCAGTCTTGGATTTGTATTGCAGTATTGAACCCTTAACACACAAGGTGCTGAATACCTTCAGCTTCCATTGACTTGAATGGGAGAATTGAGCTGAGAACTTTCTAGGAGCAGCCCCTAAATGATTTGGCTTCTAAGAACCTTGCAGAACACACTGGCTTTAGAATGTCCCAATACCAAAAGGATAAGTGTCTGACAAAGCATGCCTTACATTATAGATCAGACCTACTTAAAAACAAATAATAATGTTGTTTTAATATGAACATCGTATATTTTAATTAATATATTATGATACTGTGATTAATTAATCAGTCTACTTTAAATCTAAAAGAATCCCCGGTTGCTTGCATGAGTGAGGTTAGGAGCAGCACTGTTGTTGCTGTAGTTGTATGCATCGTGTGGATCAGAGGCTCTGTATGATCCAGCTATTATGAAAACTTGTGTGTGTGGGTTTTTTTGTTTTTTTCCCCCCAAAGGTGACACTTTTAAAATAACCTGTCAAGGTCTCAAACAGGGTTTTGGTAAATGTTTACTTCCCAAAGCGATGTGGTTTTCTTGTGCCTACGTATCTGTATTTGCTGCATGTTGGTTCATTCCTTCAGCCGCTGATTTGCTATTGATTTTACTGCTTAATATGAGTTACTCGTGTACGTTTTCAAACAGTAGCCGATCATCAGTTTCTTGACTATTCATTGCGATATTAACTATGTTGAGCTCTTCTGTTAGAAATGTCTGTGTCTGTGTGTCTTTAAAGGACATTAATGTCTACTCATAAGATGTTGCTATATTTTTTACCAACTTCTTTTTGCCCACTAGGTCTCTTGTAATAGACAAGCCAACCCTATTGTTGTGAACTTCAATTAATTGACGCGTGTTAATGCTCCTAGCATCAGTGCTGGGGAACACTTTTTGGTGGGCCTGCAAAACACACTTTTTGCTGTCTCTCCCATTAACATAACGGTCTCCACCACTTTAATGAGATCACCCTGCACAGGTCTGTCCTGAGGATGTTGTGGGAATTAGTGAGAGAACTCTGGGGAACCCCCCAAACTTAACGGATCTAAATGGATATAAATGTATCTCCCGGTCCTCTTGTCCTCGGTGCAGAAGTGAAGCACAGCAGCTTATCTTGGGATTCTTGCATAGTTTCTAAATGTCAGTTATATAAATAACCTGGGGTTCTGAGGACTGCTAGGTCCCCAGCCATTGTAGGGAACTGGATTGATTTTGTTTGCTGAATATTAGCACTTTTACAAACATGAATACACCAGCGGTGAGATTGAACCTGATATGTTTGGATCTAAAAGCATGAGCGTCTGTTGAATGACTAGGTCTATTAACTTCAAAGGCTGTAGCAGAAACATGAAACTCTTCATGGTCTTTAGAGTAGCAGCCTTGTTAGTCTGTATCCGCAAAAAGAACAGGAGTACTTGTGGCACTTTAGAGACTAACAAATTTATTAGAGCATAAGCTTTCGTGGGCTACAACCCACTTCTTCGGATAACCCACTTCTTCGGATGCATCTGAAGAAGTGGGTTGTAGCCCACGAAAGCTTATGCTCTAATAAATTTGTTAGTCTCTAAAGTGCCACAAGTACTCCTGTTCTTCATGGTCTAGCCACCAGGGGGTTACAGTGAGCCACACTGACACACTTATACCTCCTAATCCCGCTGGCTGGCAGGGGAGAACTGTCCCCAGTTCACAGAGGGGAAACAGGCACAGAAAGTTTAACTGACTTATCCAACATTGCATCTTGAGTCACTGGCAAAGCAAGGACTGGAACCCACGTTCCCTAACGCCTAGTGTCCTGTTTTAAGTAGGAAATGTTTAGCACAGATAGTGAACTCTTTGGCAGAGACTATAATTTTACAACATGTTTGTACAGCGCCGTCTGTGGTGGGCCCTGATCTGTGGTTTGGGCCTAGAGCTGCTACAGCAATGCAAATAATAAAATCATACTATATTGTATTAATATTTACTAGGTGACTAAATGATAGCTGAATATCTCTGCTCTCTGAATAGAGAAGCTGCTGCTTTTGCAAGGAAAGAAACAGCAGCATCTTCATCATTACTAGTTCATCCAAACGTACCCAGATGAATTTACCATTCCAAATAACCAAATAACCAATAGCTTGGACAAGATCATCTTGTCACCTAATCTCTCTGTGCCTCGGTTTCCTCACCTCTCTGTCTCAGAAGAAAGCTGCTGTTCTTTATAAGTGGAAAATATTGGTAGTGAATGGCACGTACATGTACTCAACTTTTTAAAATCAAGTTAAAAGTTCTTAAGTAGGCTAAAATAACTCTATTGGGGTTAGAAGTCATAATCCCAGAAACATAAGGTCTGGAGGTTTAAAGAGTTACTTCTGTAATATACTGTAAGCCAGTGGTCCCCAAACTTTTTATGTCATGCTGTCCCTTATGTAATCTGTCCGTGCCCCTCCTGAGGGCTGGGAGCCAAGGCTGGGGGTGGAGCTGCAGATGGGGTCATGGCTGGGAGGGGAGCCAGGCCGTGGTCGGGGGTTGAAACTGGGGCCTCAGTTGGGGGCAGGGCTGCGGCCAGAGCTGGAGTGGAGCTGGGGGCAGAGCATGGCTGGGTGGTGCTCCCTCTCAACCCCTTGTGGGGGCTGGCCCGGGCCCTGGTGCACTACCTGAACATTTCTCCATGCCCCCCTAAAGGGGCACGACTCCCAGTTGGGGACTGCTGCTGTATGCTAAAGTAATCTCAAGATCCTATGCACTTCTGAATTTGTCATAAATCTGTTCTGAGTGTGACATCTCCTTAAGTCATAAAATCTTATTTATTCCAAATGCAATTCAATTGCAATAGAGTGTTTCTCCCCCTTTCTGCCTCTTCCTGTGCAGAGGAATGTGTTTTTAAAAAACTACCCACAAATGATGTTGGTTGCATTGTATTTTTTTATCTCACTTTAAAACAATCATAGCTGTGCTTGTTAATATCAGAACACTTATTTGTATATTTGCATTATTTTCTATCCATTCTGATGTCCAGCTTTTGAAGGACATACATGTTTTATATTCAACTGTTCCACTGGTTGGTTCTTTTTAAAAAGTTTCGCTACTTTTGAAATTGTGCCAAAAATAAAGACTGAAGAAGAGCAACAGGATTTGTGAACATGCTGTTTCTGTATCAGAGAACACCTGCCTTTATAGGGAAGTATGGTATTGGGAGATATTAACAGACAGGTTCTAGTCACATTATTTTTTTCAGAAATCAGCTATTCCTGGATGAAGCCTTTATAAATTCAGTCCTGTGTATTCGGCAGTGTGTGGCTCACCACTGTGTCCCAGCAGGAACGCTACCAAGAAATTATGCTTCAGAGAGGTACAATTCCTCTCCAGGTCTCATTCTTCACTTGAAAAGATGTAGCCTCTTCCCTCTCCCATTGCCTGCATCCAGCCAGCTCTGTTAGCTGGCCTATGGGGTGGTGCCAGGGCTCTGCATACTCCCCACACACTGGTGTGATGGGTTCGGTCACAGGGATCCCCTTGGGACTGTCACCTGATGTGCTGAAATTACCTCTAATCCCGTTTTTCCAGCCAATTTGGGACTCCAGATCCCTGCCTTGTTGAGCCAGACACTCTAGCCTGCTGCAACACAGACTCAGGGTCTGGGCCACGCCCCCAAAGCTGCAGACTTTAACCAAAAACAGCTAAGCAGGTTACCTTTCCAGCACCCAGACACCCAGTTCCCAATGGGATCCAAACCCCAAATAAATCCGTTTTACTCTGTATAAAGCTTATACAGGGTACATTCATAAATTGTCTGCCCTCTATAACACTGATAGAGAGATATGCACAGCTGTTTGATCCCCAGCTGTTTGCTCCCCCAGGTATTAATCACTTACTCTGGGTATATTAATAAACAAAAGTGATTTTATTAAGTATAAAAAGTAGGATTTAAGTGGTTTCAAGTAATAACAGACAGAACAAAGTAAGTCACCAAGAAAAATAAAGCAAAAACCTGCAAGTCTAAGCCTAATACATTAAGAAACTGATTACAGATAATATCTCACCCTCAGAGATGTTCCAATAAGTTTCTTTCACAGACTAGACTCCTTCCTAGTCAGGCCCAATCCTTTCCCCTGGTACAGTTCTTGCTAGTTCCAGCAGACATCTCAGGTGGTCAGTCAGGGTTTTCTCATGATTGGCTGCCCCCTTTGTCCTGCTCCACCACCTGTTATAGCTTTGGCACAAGGCGGGAATCTTTTGTCTCTCTGGGTCCCCACCCCTCCTTCTAAATGGAAAAGTACCAGATTTAAGATGCATTTCATTATCAGGTGACATGGTCACATGTCACTGTAAGACCCCCGAGTCTCTATTCTTCCTGGGTTGGGCCACACATACACAGGAAGGCTTGCAGGTAAATAAACCAGTTACAACCAATTGTCCTAGTCAATGGGAGCCATCAAGATTCTAAACCACCATTAATGGCCCACACTTTGCATAATTACAATAGGACCTCAGAGTTATACTTCATACTTCAGATACAAGAATGATACATGCATACAAATAGGAGGAACCTATTTAGTAGTTTATAACCTTTGTTATGATACCTTACAAGAGACCTTTTGCATAAAGCATATTCTAGCTACATCATATTCATAAGCATACTTCCATAAAGCATATGAAGTGCAACGTCACAGCTGGCTCATGGGCGAGAGGAGTATTGGGCATTCAGCAACTGGTGTCCATTCCCCCTATGCCCAGAGGTCCAAGAAGGTCACACACAGCTGTACAGGATTGTGGGGGCTTGCTAGCTTTAACCCCTATGCAGTTACCTAGGATCAGGGCACAATTGACCCTTAAGGTAATTTACACATGCAAAAACAGCACCTCTCAGGATCAGCCCTGCCTTCCAAAGGTAAGGTACAAGAATGTAGTTTTGCTCCATATCGAGCTAGGTTACACACTGTACTTGCATGATGCTTTTCCGTAGTCTGGTTTCCACCGATATGCTATGAAGTAGTGTCCAGCAATGGATGACACAAAACACACACACACACACTTCTGTGGGGAGCATATCTGAAAAGACATAGGAGCTAACACTGAACTGAAGACCTTTACAAACCCAACAGCAGGTAACATTTTCAAAAGTGCCCAAATCCCATTGACTTTCAGTGAGACTTGGACTCCTAAATCCCTTTTGAAAATTGGACTTAGGTGCCTAAGTCACACAGGTGACTGAAAATTTTACAACTTCTGCCCTTGGTTGAAGGTTGCATGAGTATAACTTGGGGTAGAATTATATCTTCGGGTCTTTTTTTTTGTAGGTCTGTTCAGTCTCTTGCCTGATAAAAGATCATCTTGTGCTTGAGGTACAAAACTGGGAGTCAGGAGAGCTATTCCCGGTCCTGTCTCTGATTTGCTTTGTGACTTTGAGTAAGTCACTTAACTTCTGTGCACCTCAGTTTCCTCATCTATTAAATGGGAACAATATTTACCTGACAAATATTTGTGCAGCATAATTCAGTAGTTTGTATACAATGCTCTGAGCGCCTCAGCTGGAAGGTGATATAGAAAGTAGTGTTCTCTCTGGACCAAATTCTGCTTTCAGTTACACCCCTATGGCCGCATTGAGATGAATGGAGTTGCCTCAGCATAAGAGCAATTTGGTCCAGAGCCTACATTCACAGGAAGAAAGATGGCAAAGGCGGCATTATTATGCACAAAAAGTGGCAGAGAAAATGCTGCTCGATTATCTTTAGGAAAATAAAAGGAAGCAAAAAAGTACAAGGGCTACATCACTAGAAAACATGCTATTAGACTTCAGTAAAGAGAATGAGCTAGCCAAACTCCAGAGATTTTAGTTGATATCCGTCAGTCAGTCCTGGATGTTGTTCAAACAATTTACCGTTGGTAAGAATTCTCTCAGTGCTAAATTATGAATGTTTGTGTTTTAGCCGAATCCCATCAGCATGCTTGTGTAATAGTGAAGCCTGATGGAACTGCTTGATGAGCACTCTGGAAGCATGCCCACCAAATTGTTCTTTTTGTAGCAAAACCACAGGCACCAGAACGCAGATTGTTGTGTGTCTGCTCTGAAGCTGCCTCTAGCTTTCCTCCTCTCTACCAGCTAAAAAAAAATGTTGATTTACAATGCATTAATTTTTAACACATTCCAAGCTCTGATGAGAAATGATGCATGCTGAATTGTGATCAGCTAAGGACCCAAGCTGGCAATCAACCTGCACTTCAAACACCTGCTGAAGTCAACAGATCTGCCCATGTAAGTATTGTAGGAGTTGAACTCTCTGGTGCTGGTTCTCAGCTTGCCTACACTGGTTCAAAGGTGGAGAAATTTTGCCTACACCCGGTTTGTGCAATGATTTAACTCACTTGGTGTAAAAACCGATTGTATTAATGACCATCGCTATGTAATGTACTAGCAAGTGTGTATGTGCACCACTGCCCTCTGCTGCATGGAATAAAAA